AAATAATTCTAAATAAAACGCTAAATCTGAAAAATTTTGCCGAAAGACTCGGTTTTGCTCCCTAGACCCTAAACTTTGACAGGAAGAGGAAAATGGAAGAGGGACAAAGCGAAACAGACTAATCTTCTTGCGGCCGCTCGAACACGTCAGGGGGTTTTAGGGCAGCACACCCCGCATATGCGCCTAACAATAGTTTAATATTCATATTGTCACGTCTGTGGGAGTCAAAAGAACACGATGGGCCCCGCGCGTCCTTAATTAATCGGACAAAAATTTGTTCCCTTCATTCAGGGGCGCATTCGCATCGCTCGTCGATGCATTCACTCCAAGTCATTGACGCGAGAACATTGCTGCATACCTACCACTCACGCTCACAATCCGAATTAAACTTAGCCCCCCGATGTTCTTTGACCGACCCAAAGTTAATTTGTCATTGATTAGTTAACATGTTGCGGAATCGCGATTGAATTTTCAGCGATAAAAGATGCAAACAAAATATATTTGATGGTTACCGTAAAAAAAATTATTTTTTAAAAGGATCGCATTTTAATTAACTACTCGGCTCTTTTATTTAAGAAAAATTAGGAAGAGATCTTTTTAATTTTTGTGCGTATAATTTCTTTTACATTTCAATCCATCTGATATTTCAATGTAATATAAAAAGTAACACAAAAGAACTATTCTTTTACAACAACAACAACAACAATAATAATAATAAATAATAAATAATAAAATAATAAAAATAATAAATAAAAATGTACAATAATAAAAATTATATAAATCACAATTGATGACTACTATTTTTTAAATTATCTGAATTTTTCACTGTTATGTGTTATACCAAAATCTTTTGAGAGAGCCTTGAGGGGATGTTAATTCACGGAAGCGAGAATGAGATATCAAAAAGAGGCTTCTATTAATAACTTGTCAAGTTCTCCTCGATAAAACTTCAGTGGAGGGAGAAAAAAAGGGCGACATGTCGTCGATATTCGCAGACCGCAAGAGTTCACAAAGACGCCGCTTTAACTTGTGCGATGTTAGAAAAGAAAAAAAAGAGGCTCAAAGTAGCGAGGCAATTCTGACAAATAGCGTATAAAATCCTTTTCTACGTTGGATTATTATTATTTTAATAACTATAATTATAATTACAATTATAAGAATTATTATAATTATAATAATTATAATTATTTAAATATTATGATAATTATTATATAAATTTAATTAAAAAATCAATGTAGCAGAATTTAAAGTAATATAAATAATTTATGAAGCAAATACCCAAGTAGAAACTGACGTCATTAGACGTCAAAATGACGTACGTTTACTACCTGCGATATACTTTTATTCGTGTAATTTAATTATTATTATAATTATATAATTAAATAATTATAATTATTTCAAATTTAATTAAAAAATTGATGTAGCAGAATTTGAAGTGATATAAATAATTTATGAAGCAAATAATCAAGTAGAAAACTGACGTCCTTCGATGTCAAAATGACGTATGTTTGCTACCTAGTTTAAACGCACATTTCCAAGCAAACTGACATCATTAAATGTCAAAATGACATTATTTTAACTAATGACGTCAAAAATGAAAATTTATTTATTTAAGATAGTAAATATTAAAGATAAAAAATTAAACGATTTTTGACATTGAATGACATCATTAAACGTCAAAATGACATCATTTTAACGTCCAATGACGTCATTCAATGTCAAAAATCGTAAAATTTTTTATCTTTAATATTCACTATCCTAAATAAATTTTCACCGATTTATCTCCCTTTATTATTCGCACAAAATGATGCGAGCGGTGCATTTCACGGTCCTCTATTTATTATACACCCTTTCCTCCCCTTCATTGCTCCCTCCGGCGCGAAAACCTCTCCAGGGGGTGAAATCGCAACGAGAGGCGGCCCTTCTAAGGACATCCACGATTGGGCGCCGAAGGGATGCGCCGGCCTCTCGGTAATAATCCTCGCGGTGTTCTTGGCCGCTTCATCGTTTGCATTTAATGAGGAATGGAATGAGCGCGAAAAGCGAAGAGGGGATGATTCGGAGGGACGTTTTATTTATTTAGAGCACGAGCGAAATGAAATAACGCGAACACGAGAGTTTTGAAATAGTAACAAATATTTAAATTATATATATATAGGGTGTTTCTAAATAAGTGTGAAATATTTTAGGAGATTCTCTATCGAAAATTAAGAGAGGTTTTTCATATAAGAAGTTACACTTCTTCAAAAAGGAAGGGAATATTAGGTTTTCATTTTTTTCTTTCAAATTTTGGACAAGTTAAAAAAATAAAATTTGGTGGACATTTTACAATAGTGAAAGAGGATATTTATTAATATTTTTTAATCTTCTCGTATCGTTGTAAGAGGATGAAACCTAACAACCTTTATATTCAATTTTTTATCAGAACTTTTAACCGATCGAAATGTGATCATCTAAAAATATGTGTTAGAAAGGTTGATTTTTTTAGAAATATTTTTATTTATGTAATCTTTTTCGTAAAATCAATAATTTTCAAGAAAAAAAAACCCTAATTTTCACTTCTCCCTTTAAAAAAAGTGTAACTTCTCAGGAAAGGAGTATATATTTTATGAAAACCCTTCTTAATTTTCAACACAGAATCATCTTCTAAAATTTTTCATATAAATATATAAAAAGGAGAAACATTTTAATTTATATTGTTCAATAGTCTTATTAGAACCGTGTAACGAGACAATATTTTTATACACATAAAAAAGTTAAAAAATTTCGAGAGAAGAAATAAGTGAGTCTTGAATTTTATGTTGATCTTCAAATCTTGAAAAATAACTTCTCAGTTAAAATTCAAGATTTATATAAAATTGATAATCTTGAATACATAGAATTTAAATAAAAAAAAAAACGTGGCGAGAGAATCTGATGATATGCTCCATATGTTATTTATTATCAACTTTTATATAAATCTTGAATTTTAAAATTATTTTTCAAGCTCGTTTGAAAATCAACCTGTAATAAAATTCAAGATTATCAACTTTATCCTTTTAAAATTTCTAATAAAAATTTTGATTTTTATACAGAAATATATTTTTTGGTAATTGATGACAAATAAACATCAAAATTAATACTTTAATTTAAAAATAATACGTTTATAATGGTATTTAGAGATAAAAATTTAACTTAAGAAAGAAGGAATTTAAGGTCAAAAATAACTAGTTGAAGTTAACAATTAATACATTTTAAATTAACTAAGCTAACTTAAATTTTTAACTTTTAATTAATTAACTAGTTATTACTCTGGATTATACAGGATGTATACTCAAATCTTAGAAATAAATTCCCTGAGGATTCCATATAATTTTCTAGGTACTTTTGTTTAAAATTTTGTTCCAAGTAAAATTAAAGTATTTTAAATAATATTTAGAATACAATTTTGAAATAAGTTTATAACGTTATCCATAATTTTTTAACATAAATAAAGTATTTTTAAATATAATAATGTAATATAGTATTATATTATAATAAAATATATTTTAATACATACTTTATATGAAACTAATAAATTTTATATTCTTTAAAACTATATTTTAAAATGAAAGGAACAATTTTTTAAAAAATTCCCTGAATTTAAATCAAATTCATGATAAATCCAGGATTTTTCAGGTTTTTCCAGGGAGTATACACCCTGTATATATATATTCGATATCTTTCGATATTTTTTTTTGTAGATTGTATTTTAATTTGACGAATGAAAGATATAACTTAGCGAGACGCTACCGCGTCTGGGTATTATACAGGGTGTTCGGTAACTAACGGACCAACGATTACAAGTGGATTCTTTGGTCAATTTGGGAACGATTTTTCCTCAGCAAAAATATCGAAAAGTCATCATTTTTTACAACTTTCCAATATTTGTCATTATGTATCTTTATAACTAATTGTAAGTCTCAAATTAAAATTTTATTATAGTAAACTCTACCTGAAATTAACTGAAAAATGTAATTATGTTAGACTTTTAACTCCAAACGTTTAGTTTTCAAAAAACCCATTTTTTCAATCGCTTATAACTCGAAAATTATTGACTTCTCAACATTTTTGCTAAGGAAAAATCGTCTCCAAATTGGCCCGAGAATCCGCCCTTAATCATTGGTCCGTTAGTTACCGAACACCCTATATAAGAATGTATTCAGTAAAGCACACCTTTGTGATTCCCCGGAAGCCGTCAGTGTCGACCAGGAATCTTCTTCTCGTCTCTTCATTTCGTTACCATCAAAATATTAATCTTGGTCGCTCTCTGGCGAACACACGTGCCTCTCCCAATCTGTATCTACGATGACGACGACGACGACGACGTCTGCTGCTGCTACGATGAAGAGAGAGAGAGAGAGAGAGGAAGAGGAAGAGGTACGAAACGAACATTGTGCGCGCACGCCATAACAGCGTAGCAATAACAGTGTTCCATTATATGTAGCTACACCGCGAGAGCGGGCGAGATTGCAAAACATGCCTAGATTAATGTTTTCTCATCCCGCGGCTTTGTTGTGCAAGAGAGGGAGGGAAGCGGATGGCGGCGGCGCACCCTCGCGTTTCCCTCCCCGACCCACCCCCTCCCACCCCTCGGTGGTCTATATACAATCGCGTCATGCGACAATGAACAGTACGAATTACGTTGCATTCTCTTTTGCGGGCTCTCTTCGATCAGCCCTCCGCGGTTTCCGCGGCGCGTTATTATTCCGCGTCGCGGAAAAGACGGGGAGAATCCCCCGAAATAAATTGGAGGGACCGAATGAGGGAGAGAATAAATTATTGTCGCAGATGTACAGATTTTACAGATTCTCTGCTGCTTATTATTATCCTTACAAATGGAAAAAAAAATTATATTGATCAGAAAGCAATTTTTAATTTAATATTCGCGATAGAAGATAGTGGTAATCCGGAGAATTAGGAAGGGGAACTTATTTAGAATATAATTATAGAAAATAGTATAATTTTGAGTTTTATTTTTAAAAAATTTCTTTCTATTTTATATATATTTGCACGTCGTTTTAATTTAATTCGAGAGTATTTAAACTTACTTTCTCGTAGATGGAGAATGCCCAGGCAGATATCTCTCCGAGAAATTATATCAAATATTTTTTAATGATATTTTCGACGAACCAGGAAAACGTGAATTGCAAGTGATCGCCGGGTAGCGAAAGAAATTGGATCTTTCCGGCTTCTTCCATTGCGCGTAATCCGAGCCAATCCTAAAATGAGCAAATACAAATAATGCATATATATTTAATAATAATAAATTATAATAAAATGATAATAATATAATTAATATGCATTAATAATTATTAATATTATAATAATAATATATAATAATAATATAATAATTATAAAATATTATATATTAGTATTATAATAAATAAAATATAATAATAATATTAATTATAATAAAATATTAATAATATTACTAATAATAATTAATAATATGTATTTAATATTCAAATTTTTTGGCACGAGAAATTAAATAAACCTTAGAGTTCCTGGATCCTTGCCGCGGCCATGTTAGATTATGACGTCAGAGATGAGAAAATACACGCTGAAAATTCTTTATCTAAAAATGGCACGCAAGAATTCTCAGCGTGTGCTTTCTCTGACGTCATAATTTCAGCATGGGCTTAGCCTTAATTCAAAATTTTATTTTATTTTTAATAAATTCCTCTGTATTCCCCAATAAAGGAGAGATGTATTAAGCGATCGTGTACAATTATTTACCTGTTGATACAGCTCACTTTCCTGCAGTTTCTGTATCTCCTTCGCCTGGCCAAGTTTGTAGAATCCGAACCACTCCGACTCTGTTGGTTCGACCATCGTATCGTTTTCGAATTTTACAAGAACTAAATTTCGCAGCAGCTGAAGATTTTCTTTGTATGTCTGATAAGAACAATGACAATGTTAATAATAAAAAATAAAAGAAAGATCAGTCGATATAATTTTTAATAATTTTGATTATCGTTTTATATACAAATTTTGATAATTAAAATTCTGTATCACGATACTCTGACGTAATCTTTTACTCATATTAGATTATATTACGTTTTAATAGAATTTCACATTTCAATAATGTATTAATAAATTAATGTTGTACCACTTTGATGTTCTTCTCGTTGTTGATGTCGGCGAGGAAAATATTTTTCTGTTGGTATTCGACTTCCTTTAAGGGATCGTGCCAATAGGCAGCTTGTACCAAGGACTCTTGAATATACCTAAGAAAAAAATATTGGATATAAAAGAGACATTTCTTTATCTGTTAAATGAATAATTATTAACAAGCACTTAATAATTTTTTTTATTAGAAAAAATATTGGGTATAAAAAAGACATTTTTTTATCTGTTAAATGAAATAATTCTTAACACTTAATAATTATTTTTACCATAAATATGCGCCATGGTGCAGCATGCGCCGCATATAATTGCACAATCGAGATGTATCCGAACACCTTGGTATCCCGAAAACACCTTGATGCTGACCACCCAAAGATATTAGATTCAGCATCGGTGGGTTGGGACATCTTTGTGCTATCGCTCTCCTATTAATAGAGAAAATAATTTTATGTGGAGATATAAGAATTATATAATTTTAAATATATTTAAATATTATATTATTTCAATTAAAATTATATTATTGTAGCACTAAATAAGCCAATTTACAGAAATTGAGCCCCTTGAGAGAACCCAATAGCGTTGTATCCATTTTGAAGTTTTGGGTCTTGCGACAGTTGCTCACATACATGTTTAATTTGTTCATTAATATTTCCAAAGTAGCTGTTCTCCACGTCCTATTAAAAAGAAAGAAAATACATTAGAAAGTAATATTGAATAAAGATGCAAAGAATATCCAATTATCAAATAACAGCATCAATACAAGTGTCATATAAAAATGTGTATTATTGGAGTAAGATTAGAATGAATAAATTAAATGTAAATAAAAAAAGAATACAAATAGAATAAAGAAGTAAGATAAATTCTATGTTATTATTATGTAATATTTTTTCTACTATTAAACACTTGTTATTATATCCAACCTCTACAACATTTTCTCCGATGCGTATAGAATTAACATAGACTCCAGGTATTTCTTTTTGAAGAACATCTTGTATTTTTCCAAGACTGAAAGAGAAGCAGCAACTATCACCTACAAAAGATACATTTCAATCATTATAGTTAAATAATTGAAAATTCTGAAAAACAATGATCAGTTAAATTCTAAATAAAAATAATACTCTGAGTTGTCAGAAAGAAATATTTCCAAAATTCTATTTGTGCTTGCAAATATATATTATTATATTTATTAATATAATATTTCAAAAAAAGATTAATATCCAAGATAATTAAAATTACAAAGTATTTCTATATAAACATAATACTTGTGACACAAAAAAAGTCATTTTATCTTAGCTTGATATGACTAATTTTATGATGACTAATGTTTAATCTGTAATTATAAGAAAAAGTTTTACTGTACAACTCACTTTATTTTTAAAAATGATGAACAATAATCATAATATTTACATACACCAGAAAGCTGATAATTATATATTGGTTTTTTGTTATGATAAGATAATAATTTCTTTTAAATATAAATACAATAACATTCTTTAAAGTAAAATTGACAATTAAGTATTAAAATTTTACGTTTGCATAACGATGCCACAGTTGTAAAGAATGTTACAACTTATGTTTAAATAAAATAATTATAATTATAATAATCATAATTAGAATAATTATAATTAACATATTATAATTAAAATAATTTAATAAAAATAAAATAATTATATTAAAAAAATATTGAAAATTTTCGCAGAATTATGCTTTAAAAAAGAGGGGGAGAAATATAAGAGAAAGTATGTACTTAGATCAATTTAAGTATAGAAAGTGAGGAAGCAACTGATACGTTACGAAAAAAATCACAATAAAAATAACAAATAATTGCAAAATAAAAAACTTACCCATTCCATGCCAAAGCACTATCGGCACCGGCGAATCGGTTTTTCCATCCTCTTCATGTAAACAACGACCGGTGTTTACGCATAAAAATGTCAAGACGACAAAAATGCAAAGGGTACGATTTATCGTCCACTTCTTCACGTTGCGATTCATGTTTTACTGCTACTGTCACGTTGACGTTTTGCAACCGTAGTAGGAAGTGATTCTACGCAATATTTTTGCGACACCTAATCATCGTCGTGCACAGCCGAGCACAGCTGAGGATAACAATTCGACAATCATATATGTATACTTTGACATGGATTTATCGACAGTAATGCCCTCGCGCGGCCAAATCGAGAATATAATGTGTGAATGATAACCCGGTCGGTAATTCAGATCTCGTTTGTATCTCGCGCATTTTGCAAATTCTCTCGTCGCTTTCTTCTCAACTTTTATCTAAATAAATTTTAAATAAATCTATCTTTATTCTTTTAGATTCTTTTAGATATATATTTTATCTTGCTTTATTATAGTTGATTTAATTCTTATAAATAAATATATAATAAAATTGAATATTTATGGATGCATATTAATATATGAATACATAATTAATTCAAGTACGAATCTTTTGTTGCAGGCTTTTAATCTCATTTTTATTATTTCTGTATTATTCTTTCACGTCATCTCTATTGGGAGCGCCATATTTTGTATTCAAATAAATTGCAGAACTTTTGTGTTAAATAAGTATTGTTATGAACTGATGCAAGAGATCGATAAACAACTGTAATTTTTTAACTTTTATTGTTTCTTTATACGAAATTACAGCGCTCCTTCATTATTATCAGTACTTTAATTGTGGACAAGGATTTCAATCTGTATAGCCAATAAAAAGAAAAGTCGGTAAAACAATCATATATGGTCAGCGTTCCCTTAATTATCATTTTTTTCATAAATATGACATTTAATGTACGTGTAACATATTTAAATGAAAATATATATAACTATCACAAATCAGAAAAGTGTATGATTATTTAGATTATTAAATTATTAGTTTTATTATCTAGATAATTATTAGATAATTATCTAGATAAAAATATTTTTAAATATCACAGCAGAAAAGTACATGATTATTAGATGATTATCTAGATAAAAAAAAAATATATATATATATATATATATATATATATATATAAAATATTACAACAAGAAAGTGCATAATTATATTATTATTAGATGATTATCTAGATGATTATCTAGATGATTATCTAGATGATTATTAGATTGTTATCTAGATAAAAATATTACAATAGAAAATAAATCCATGATTATTATTATATATAGATAATTATATAAATAAAATAATATATAAAATATATAACAGAAACGTGCATGCAATTATATTTTAATAGATGATTATCTAGATATCATTATTAGATGATTATCTAGATACAAAAAAATGTATATATCTATATCACAGCAAAAAAGTGCATGATTATTATTAAATGATTATCTAGATGATCATCTAGATAATTATATGTACAATATAAAATACATGGAGTTATCTAGACAAAATATATTTTGTGTAATAAAAGATTAATTTAAATTCTATTTCGTTAACTTTGTGTTAAAATATTTGATGCATTTATATGTCAATCAGCAACTGATTAGTTGCAATGCTGCAATCGCAATTATGGATGTGATGCAACAAGAGATTATACATATATATCAATCGTAAAACACAATCTTGATAACGACATGCAGAGCTTTCTAATGCAAAGCTTTAGTTAGTGTTGTGCTTACAATGATTTTAAAATTAACTAGATAAAGATAAGATAAAAATATATAAATTTATCTTAGATAAAATGAAGATATATGATTTTCTAAGTATATCTAGATAAAAGATAAAATTACATATGGCGATTTATTTAGATAATTTTTTAGATAATTAAGACTGCTTATGTAAGCACAGTTCTAAAAAAATCTATAAATTATAAAAAAGATATAAAAATATATGTATTCGCATATTTTTATTTATAAATTTTTATCGCTTGCTGCTTAAGTATATACTATTTCTATTTATAAGCATATTTTTATATAGTTATGATTCTAAATTATCTGAAAATTATTCTAGATAATTTAGTAAAGATAATATACTTATTTTCATATAAGATGCAGATATAGATAATACATCTCTAACAGCACAACATATTCGAAAAATGTTCAGAGGATATCCTGAGGACATTCGAATATTCTCTGCAAGTCCTTTGAACGTCTTTCGAATATGCGTGTGCTGTTAGAGATTTTTATTATCTTTATAAAGATAAGATGACGCTAAAGTTTCATCTAGATGATCATCTATAATTTTATTTAGATACAGCAAACACTGTTTACAGTTCACCGACGTGAAAGCGTATTCTTATTGTAGTATCGCCTCATCGTAGTTATTTGCGCGCATTATAACGAATGCCATTCAATCCGCAGTCGGTGTACGGAAGAAACAGATCCTGGAGGGTTGTTGCTCGCTCACAGAGAGGATGAACGTCTCCTCTCCCGCTCGATGGCGGGAAAATGTTTCGGTGGTGGAGAAAGAGGAGTGGCGAACCAGTGGCCGTTTGTTTAGCGAATCGCCGCGATATCAGGGAGCACAATGCGCGATATCCGAGTCGCTTGTTCCGGAGATACATTGTTTCCGTTCTTCGGCATTCCCAACCCGCGTATGGAAATGTGCAGTAATCACTTAAAGCGGATCTGAACGACGGAGGGACCATCATTGACGGACGCAATAATAATAATGCGGCTTGATTGCGATGAAGTATAGAAGATTTCTTTTACGTATTTTTAATTGATTATTACGTAATTGATATAATCTCCGAGAGATATCGCCTAGAAATTTTCAAGCTTTAGCAAGCATACGTCATTGGACGTCAAAATGACGTTTAATGACGTGTCAGTTTGCTACTTTTGGGTATTTCAATACAAAAATAATTTTCGGATTTTGTAAAATTATTAATCACTATTTTCTTGTCCTTAAGAAAAATATTGTTCAAATTATTCTTTTTATTATTTATTCTGCACATACAAATAAAACAGAGATTATGCAAAAAAATGCGAAAACATATATATAATGGACATATATATAATTCTTATATATATATATATATATATATATATATACATATATATATATATATATACATATGTATATATACATAATATTTATAATATATATAATATTTGACATATATACCTATAATTTTTATAAAATATTTATATATGATTATATATATGGATTTTTGAATCTCTGCTAATTAAAAAACTAATAGTTTGAAATTAATAATTAGAAATAAGAATTATGTAATAATTTTAATTGAAAACACATAAAAATAAAGACATGTTTTGGAAATTTAATAGTTTCCAATAAAGAAAGAAATTAGAGAAATTATAATAATTCATTTTTTAATATGATTTAAGAGAGATCTGATCTTAATAACTATATAACTTTGGAAATTTAAATATAAATTTAAATATCACAGCAGAAAAGTGTATAAAGACGATTTTTTAGACGATTTTTGCGAAAGAATCGGAAATAATAGACATCGATGGTAGGAAGAGATGCGAATAAAGACCGTAGAAGAGTTGAATTGGAGAAGGAAGCGGAAAGGAGGAAGAAACGAGATATACAGAGACAGAAGGAGGTGGAGATCGATCGAGGGGATGTGATGAGGAGGAAGATCGACATATTAAAGAGGTGGGTAACGAGCCCAAGAAACTGGCCAGCTCAATAGAAAGCAAATTAACCGGAAATTTTCTCTAATACTCGAAGGATGTGGTTGCGGTTAAGAAATTGCCTCGCAGAGAGTTTCTCACGCAAAGTATTTCAAACTGCTTGAGCAATTAATTTGCCGTTTATTCTAACCGAATTATATATATTTTATCTTATACAATTAGTTCTTTTCCATGTGTATATATATATATATATATATATATATATATATATATATGTATGACGTCACAAAGTATATTTTGCCAAAAATCATATTGAGACACCAAATTTTTCCATATTATCTTCACTTTTCACAGCGCAGAATGGCTTCAACAACTGTTTAAGAATCAGTATACAAAATTATCAGGAAAATTATTTTGGAAAAATGATGAGATAAAATAATTTTGGACATCCTATATCTATATATATCTTCGCGAATGAAAAAGAAGATGTGTGTGTGTGTGTGTGTGTGCGCGCGCGCGCCTGTGTATATATATCCCACCCAGCAAACACCGATATATAATTGTTACATTGCTATAATAAAACGGAATATAATAGGTAATATAACGTGTACGTTACATGTAACATCCATGTTAGTAGTAATTTCCCACTCATAGATGTAACATTTTAATATAACATATATTACATTGTAGTTATATTGTAATTATATACCAAATAGCACATTGATGTATTGATAAGTCAGCGCTATCTTGGGATATAATGACAATATAACTACAATGTAATATATGTAATATTAAAAATGTTACATCTATGAGTGGGAAATTACAACTAACATATACGTTACATGTAACATGCTTGAGTATATAACATTTATATACTGTGTTTGCTGAGGCAAATTCCAATTGGTGTCCCAAATCTCAATTGTGTTCCAAATCCCAAATGTGTCCCAAATCCCAATTGTGTTTCAAACTCCAATATTGTGTCCCAATATTGCGAAGAGGAAAATAAACTTTCTTTCCAGAAAAGAAAAAAATAGGAAATAGCAATCAAAAGATCGCGATCGAACGTGGGTATGAAGATTTTAACCCTTTACGTTTAGCGGTGATGCACCATCATCCCCCTTTAGCATCCCTCTCTCTCTCTCTCTCTCTCTCTTCCAACTCTCCTCTCCGCGCTTCCGCGTCCTCTTTCCACCCAGCCACCCACCTCCCTCCCTACCCTCCTCTTTCTTCCCGCTACATCTCCTTCCGCGGCGTAATGAATCCAGTTTGTCGAACTCCACCGCCTTCTCTCTCTCTGACGCGGCGCGGCCGGGGCATTTCCCAACCATCCTAAACCATCCTAACCATCCGTCTGTCCATATATACATATCCCGACCATTCCACAGTCCACAGTCGGTATAACTGCGCCGAACACGTGAATCACTGTGCTTTTCGGTGCCACCCGCCCCGCGGCGGCGGCCAACCCGCGCAGTCATTTTGCATCTCTCCACTCCATCTCATCCCCCTGCTCTCACCTCCTTCCCCGCCACGCTACGCGGCGCGCGCTCTCGATGCCCGTAATTACATCGAGTTCCCTTGACGATGGCCTGGCAAGAGAGAAAGAGATGGAGCGCAGAGGTAGAGGGTTCTAATTAATCAGCTAGCCGCACCGCGCGCGAATCGTTCTCGGTATACGTTGCGGCACGCCTATAGGTTGACCGTCAACCAAAGCCCGACCGTAGGCACGAGGGGGTGAGGGAATGGTCTTCCGGATCTGCCCCTTTCGTCCCCGCCGCCTTGTCCAGCCGACGTTGTTAACCCTTAGTTGGTCGCGTAGCATAATTAGTCACGATACCAATTTATATATATATATGTATATGTTGAACGGGATTCCTCTCTCTTTAAACTCATCATTTCATTCTTTTATCATCAAACACTGGAAAAATTGTATATAGTTTCATTTTTACACGAATTTTTCTTCACTTGGAACTCTTTAGGAAACCCTCTGTTTTTAAATAGGCGCCAAAAGGATTCTTATCTTAAGAGGGGAATTCTCTGAAGATTTTTAACATCAGATATTTCTATAATTTATAAAAATGTAGACGAAGTGAGATTTATTTTTACATTTAACACAAAAAGGTACATTTATTTTAATTATTTTTTACAGCACGTAGACAAAGGAAAATATGAAGCATAAAATAAAGAAGATAAAGGAAACCAAGACAAGACCTCTGGATCCAGAATGATTAATCCTGAAAATTAGATTGTGTCACACTTATTATTTTTAGTCATAAACACTTCTTTTAAATTGCTCAAGTCTTCGTTCTTATAACTTTTATATATATTATCTTCATTCACGTTCTTCTAATAAACTTCTAATGACAAATATATACTGCACTATAAATTGATGTTCTGGAAACACTGAAGAACCTGTTTAAGAGAGTTTTTTATAATAATATCTTTTACTTTGAGAATATGCAATTTTTTTGATAGATTGTTACACACGTATTTATAAGAAAATGGCTGAATAAAAAAGAATTGTACGCAAGTACACAATTAGTATAATACAGTGAAAGACAAGAAGACACATGATAGAAAAACTGCACAAATAGCATAGCCCATACAGCACAGATTATTGCAATTGTATTGCAGCAACGTTGCAATGTTGCAAGTTGCAATGCAACATTATAAAGACATTGCAGAGATATAGGTGCACAAAATTCCAGCACACTTGTAGCAACATGACATTAATATTTCGGAAATATTGCATGTAATCCAAATTCTATAATTTATATATTGTAATACATATAAATTAACTACAACGTATTTTCATTAATGATTTATTTACATTTATATACCTGTATATGCAAAATTAGTTTATGGTTGCAATAACAATGCATTATTGCAAATTTATAACATTGCAATATTGTTGTAATATTTTGTTGCAATCTTCCAAAAAGCGGACATTTTAACATTGCTGCAAGTCAACAGCAATGATGTAGCAACATTTTGCAGTAAATTTGCAATATTGCAATATTGCGGTGAAAGATTGTTGTAATGTTTTTGCAATCTATCGGTGCTGTATGGGAGATGAGTAAAAGCTTCATAAAGAGCAGACCCATACAGCACCGATAGATTGCAAAAACATTACAACAATCTTTCACCGCAATATTGCAATATTGCAAATTCACTGCAAAATGTTGCTACATCATTGCTGTTGAACTGCAGCAATGTTAAAATGTCCGCTTTTTGGAAGATTGCAACAAAATATTACAACAATATTGCAATGTTATGAATTTGCAATAATGCATTGTTATTGCAACCGTAAACTAATGTTGCATATACAGGTATATAAATGTAAATAAATCATTAATGAAAATACGTTGTAATTAATTTATATATATTACAATATATAAATTATAGAATTTGGATTACATGCAATATTTCCGAAATATTAATGTCATGTTGCTACAAGTGTGCTGGAATTTTGTGCACCTATATCTCTGCAATGTCTTTATAATGTTGCATTGCAACTTGCAACATTGCAACGTTGCTGCAATATAATTGCAATAATCTGTGCTGTATGGGGAGTTGTATTCCCGAATAGGAAACTGACGTCATTAAACGTTAAAATGACGTCTAATGACGTCATTTTGACCGAATACAACTTTGCTCTTTCTGAAGCTTTATACTCTTCTGCTATTTATTGTGTAGTTTTTTGATTTAAAAAAAGTATTTTAAAACAACGTCATTTTGACGTTTAATGAGGCCATCAATTTGCTACTTTTGGAATATTTTAAAAGATTCTTTTTTTAAATTAAATGTCCTAAAATATTTTCACAACAAACGTAAATCATCTATATATGCATATATATCAATCCTTGTTATAATTTATCAGAAAAACGAAATATATTTGGCTAAGCAGACCGATATTTTTAATCAGTAATAAATATCTTCCGTAGAGAAAATTCCCGCGATTATACCTATATAAGCACCTATCATTGATATCAGAGGTCGGCCTGAAAATTTCGCAATGAACACGCAACGAAGGGTTAATCGGCTCATCGCTCTTCAGAAACGAAGAAAATCGACGTTCTTTTGTTGTCGTTTTATCCCTCCCTTTCTTCTTCCTCCCCCTACCCCTTTCAGCGGTGATTTATCTTCATCGCCCTTTCGGCGTGCAGGAAAGAGAAAGAGACAGGGAGAGATTTCGGGCGCAACACTGGTTTCTCGGGCAATAATTACTCGCCGGAAACCACGGAAGCCGAGAATATATATATATATATATATATGTGTGTGTGTGTGTGTGTGTGTGTGTAGAGCCCGGGGAGGTTTCGGCCTGGCCGCAGCTGCACTGATGTCGTGCTAATGAATCTATTTTACCCGTTCTCTATATCGGCCCCTTCACCCTCTCCCACCATCCTTTCCCTTCCCTTCTCATCTTCCTCTCTTCAGAGCTTCTCCATATTAAAAGACTTTTACATTTAATATTCATCAGCTGCTCGTCCACCTCCTCCCATACCGAAAACGCACAACCGCGAATATGTTAAATATAAATAATTTGATACATTCTCGGAACAATCAAATATTTTTAATAAAATGTAATATTTTTGGAGTTTAATAATAATTCATCATCATTATATATTCTAAAAAAATTGCAATCACTGCATTAATTTTGATACTAAAAATTAAAATTTGCATTTTTTAATTTATATAATTTTTTAAAAGTAATTTTAATAAATTTCTAAAGTTTAAAAGACATTATATTAAATTTAATATTAATATTCATATATATAATTTTAAATTAGAAACAATAGAAAGATATTTTATATGTATATCTAACAATGTATTATGTTACGTCATTAAACAAAATTTTTTAATTATTTAAATTTTCTTATTATTTTATTTCTAATTTTTAAAATTATTAAATTTTTTATTATTTTATTTTTAACTATTTATTATGTTTTATTGCTTTATTAAAAAAAATTTTTTTATTATTATTTTTAAACTACAAAAATCTCATAAATCAATTAAAATTATTTTATTAAAAAAAATAAAAAAAAATATATAAAAATAATTTTAGTTTGCATATATAGAGATAAATCGAGATGGATAAATATAATAATAATAGTGCTTATTTTTGTTGCAGTATAACGCGTGATAGACAAATAATTATAAAAATTATTTATTAATTTAATTTTTAATTTTCAATATTTAATTTTAAATTTTATTTTTGAACTGAAAAGTTAGAATTTAATCTTTATTTAAATTAAATTTCCAATTTTATAACATAAATACACATATTTCATTATTTTGATTTTTTTATCACCATGTATTATAACGACTTTTTTATATAAGAAATTTGAAAAATCACATATATTTGATTAAATATATAAAAATTATTTTTACCAACGATCGATAAAGTTGATCGCAAAAATAGTCGATAAAGTAACTATCATATTTATCGACTGAAAATGGCGGGTACTATATTAAATAATTTTGAGCGCCTTATGCGTGTTTACGCTCGTTTGATCACCCACAACTATCAATCAATCGTATTTTTTTTTAATCGACATGGATGGTGATTATTACTTCACTGTGTATACATGGTAAATATACATGTAAACTGTGTGTACAAATAATATATTATATTTAATTTTGGGATAAAAAAACATCAGAAAAATTTATGTCGAGGTTATTTATTATATATTTTTGCAATTTTTCTCGAAACGATTTTTACGTTCAACGCCAATAAAAGTCAATTAAATTATCTGTAACGTATTACATAATTTGTAATAATAATTTATAAATCTATTAATAATATATATATATAACTCTTGTGATATATAAACAATTCTATATACTTTATTTGTCATCTGTCTATTTTACTTTCTTTCCAGGTTTGAAAAATGTGGAATTATATCCAACATCAGAACACACCTCCGTCAGAACTTGGTGAATGCTCTGAAGCACAAGGATTTAACGCTGTGTAAGAGTAGAGAGGCAAGATCAGCAAAGCAGTATGTTTACGACATGTTGATAGCCGAATATCTGTTCAGCCACAATTATTCTTTCACTCTGTCGATATTTGCCAGCGAGGTACCACTTTTGGTGAACTTTTGCAACAGCGTACCGCAACAGCGCACCTCTAATGACAATGATGGAGGTGGTTGTGGCAATAAGTTGCAGAGTGATTACATAGTACATACTCTGGAAACATTAGGGATTGATCCCAGCAAGCCAGAAGGCCAGTACATTATATCAAATTATATGAATACCGAAGCACCACTATTGCTGTCCATTCTGAGCTCCATAGCTTCACTGCTCACGGTCAACACTCAGTCTTCAAGCAAAAGTTCCTTGTGCGACAAGAAAACACAAGCTAATTTACCTTTGGAAGCAAGTTTTTCAGAGGCAACAAAAATGCGTGCAGCGAGGAAGAAGCTTATGCAACAGAAACAACAGTACGATGATGAATTGAGGATAAAAGAAGGCAAATTGAAGCAGCAAGCCTCCATTATAAAACATCAGCTTGGTTTGTTAAATGCAAAAATGGTAGAAGCTCAGGTAAAATATCTCTTTTCAGTGACATATGTATTTAATACAAAATATCCTACATTCATCGTTATTTTATGATAGAATTTCATTCTATTATTAAAATATTTTATTAATGTAAAAGGTTATTTCCTATCATATTTCAATTATATTATATGAATTATGAACGTGTAACTACTTTTTTTCTGTTTATGTACTTAGAATTTAATGCAGTCTTTAATGCTGAAAGAGAAGCAACTGAACGAAAAGAAAGACAGCAATGCACAATGCATCTTGCAGAAGGAGATGGAGCTCTCTATGAAGCAGAATTTCTTAACACAAGAAGCCAACAGGTACTCGTTGTCAGCTTAATTTACTTCCATATAATCTTACAATTACAATTTCTAATATTCTTCATTTAATTTTGCTCTCCTAATCTTCCTTCTTTTATTTCAGCCGAATTAGTCATTCATTGAGAAATATAACAAATAATTATTTTTACAGATTGCAGAGAGAGCGGGATAGTTATAAAAAATTCGAGGGCGGTTTGAAGAAGCTGCAGCGGGAACTCGTCAAGATGCAGAAGGAGATGCCGCAGCAAGGCACATCGAGTCAGAACAACGTCAGGGATATTCACGTACAAACCGATCTGGAGAGCCACACGATAATGGACGAATGCAGAATTCTGCAGCGGGAGAACCTGGAATTGACGAGCCTCGTGCAGGAGCAACGATCGAGGATCGAGGAGATCACGCTGCGCAGCCTCCAGCTGGCTCGCCAGCTGGAGGCGGCGCGTTCGATCGGCGTTGAGAGACCGGCCAAAACCGCCCACGCCGACGAGGCGATCGTCAGCGAATGCAGTTCCGCGGAGAATCTTCTGCAGGACGCGAAGATGCGGCTGAAACGCTTGGAAGAGGAGACAGCGAAAGTAGACAAATATTTTTGCAGCTTCATCGACATCTCCTCTTCGTAGCCGGAATAGAATATTCTAAAATAGTTATGTAAAATTAATCTATTTATTTATTTCATTAATATTATGTGCATGTATAATTATTTATTTATCGTTATATATACACAGACTGTCATTTTAATCGATCACTTCCATAAACGTTTTTAAATGGAACCACTAAATTCTTTCAAAATAAACATTCCTTGTAATTTTCAGGATAAAAAGTTATAAGGGTAAGATGGTAAAAAAATGAATAACTTAAAAGATATTTTATACTTTAAGTTTTAATATATAATTTTACATAAAACTATGAAATATATATATATATATATTCCATAAAATATTCATTTTTTATCGATCTTACCTTAAAAATCGATTTTTATAAAAAAATATGGTGGTTCCATTTAAAAAAACAAATGACCTTGAAAAACGCCTTTTAGAAAAAGTCAGTTGCATTTTCTGTCCTCTTTCTTCAAATCAAACTTTTTGTTTGAAACATTTTGTCGGACACTCAAAAATGAAAGTTTTTGGAGATAATCGATTTGTATATAACGATAAATAAATAATTATACATATAAAATAATATATATACGCGCACAATCGACGTTGCAAATGCATTTTGCAATTATATGTCGCATATGCACTCGTGTGATCTCTCTTCTATTCTTGAAAGAAGAGAGAGAAAACGAATTAAAAAAACAAGTATACACAAAAAGTATCGGACATTTAAGATAATTTATTTTCTATAAAACTGGATGTTTTTTAAAACATTAATATACAAATTATCCACTATCTTTTTTTTGCTTTATTTCGAATTCTACGTTCATTACATGCAACATCAAACATAGCATAAAAAATGTTAAGTCGAGCTCCCTTCGATTGTTGTACATCATCTTCGCTTTGGGTCTGAACTTCTTCTGGTGCACTTGAATTAAGGATTATACCGAGCATTTGTGCTTTCTCGTGCACAAGATAAATCATACAGTTATTGAGCAGTTAAGGACTTTTTCTTCCACAAAAGAAGATAATAAAAATTATCGCAAAAAAAAGATAAAAATATATATATATATATAGAAAGTTCAAAAGAAATAAATTGCAAATCTCATTATGTATATACAAAAAAAAATTCAAACATTTATATAAGTTAATTAAGTGCTAAATTATTGTCAAATGTTATAACCCATCTACAACCAACAAAAAAGTGCAATTATGAGAAACAACTTATATACTATATATTTATTGGTAAATCGTGTTAATAGCACGTTGAATTATTTATTAATATAAAAGTAACATATATATGTATGTTATGTGTGTGTGTGTGTGTGTAGAAATAAAGGAAATGATCTCCAACTCAATAATTGTACGATTCAGTCTATGTACATGAAACGTGAATTATTTTAACACTTAATTAGTTGCAACGTTTAATATATCAAATTGCAAATATTATGGTGCAAAATAATCTTTGTTGTAAAAAAAATAATATTTGTAACACTGCTACGAACATTTAAGGCTCTCGGATCCGCGGATATGTTAGATTGTGACGTCAGAGGCGAGAGTTTAGCGAGGAGCCAGGAGCCTTAAATGTAGAAAATATTTAATATAGAAAAGGATATTGTTTGTCACGGCTTTCGCGTCCTTCGCGTTCGTGAGGACGATCCTTTGCATATGGGGATTTCTCCTGAAAATATATTCTTGAATGAGTCTCCCGAATTCCAATGATTTCTTGCGACATTGAGAATACTTGACACCTATGTTTTTTTCTTGTTTTTTTTTTTTGCTATAGCCGTCCATTTCGTCCTTTTAAAGTACTTGTAGTAGACATCTTTATCAACTATGAGAAGTCAAGTAATAGAAAATTATTAAGAAATTACTTAGTTTTTCTTTTTCTTTTTGTGAAATAAACGAATTAGTGATAAAGTTCTACAGAAAAAAATGTGTACACTTTATATGAAGAATTGCACGACATACATGTAATAGTTTTTATAAATATATTAAAGTGTGCATATAAAGTTAAAAATATGCATATTTCACGAAACATGGAGAAAGAGAAAGAGATAGAATTGCAAGAACATTTTTGTATATACAGAGTGTCCCATTTTAATGTTCCACCCCAAATAAGTTTTTTATTTTTGATTGTAGAAAAAATGTTTCAGACAAAAATTGTATGGTTTCGTCACGTAAAGGTCACCTTGAGGTGAGGAGATCTTGTCTTATAACTCAAAAAGTACTTGAGATAAAAATGTTTCATTATAGTGTTTTGGAAAGTTCTCGATGTCAACTACAAGAATATGTAATAAAAAGTAGGTGGTTCCATTTAAGAAATTAAAGACCTTCACATGACCCTCAAGCAACTATTCAAGGTCAAACTAATGGCACCACCTTATGTCCTTCTCGAAACCATACAACTTTTGTCTGAAAAATTTTTTTCTACAATCAAAAATAAAAAAACTTATTTGAGGTGGGACATTAAAATGGGACACCCTGTATATTTGAAACATAATCTTCGCAAATGCATTAGTATTTTTTAACATATTTTCATTTAGTGTTAACCATCTAATTGTACCACATATTTCTTCTTCAAGTATTTTCTTTATATATTCTTTAAAAAAAACAAAAAAAAGGGGTATTGAAATTAAATCTCAAATATGAGATTATTTCATATTTAAAATCTTGGCCGTGTCCAAGTAAAATTTGGTGCCTTGTGCACCGGTATTTAATTCTAACGAAAAAAATTATTTAGTTTCGTTAGGATAACGCATTGTCATCCGCGATTTGGCTCTTGTTGCCCGTCTTATACGTTAAAAAAAAGAGTATTCTCTTATAAACTTAAAATAATATTGTACATCTATAGAAATATACCTTGAGAAATCTGAAAAAAAATTATGATTTCTTGAAACTAGCATTTATTGTAAAGAATGATTTAAAAATAAAAAAATATAATTTAATTTTATAATAATAATTAATACTTTGACTTTTTAATAATAATTAATAATTATTCATATAATTTATAATAAAAACGTTAAAAATATAAACGTAAATTATAAAATATTTTAATTATATAATTGTAATTTAATAATTGTATAATTAATGTAATGTAGCAAAAATAACTGTTTATAGAAAATATAAAAGAATCAACCGAAAAAAGATCAAATATTTGCTATAAAACGGAAAATGAATGATTGATTATTAACCGTTGCTGTAATATTATTTTAAAAAATACTGATTAATAATACTGACCTTACTGTAATGATGCTTCTCTCTATGTTCGGGAATGTCACCGTTCTGATGCGTACCTTTGGCTGGAAAAGACAAAAAAAAAAAAGTATACCCATATTTTAATATATTTATTCCAATTTGTTTACATTTATTCTTTTTATATAACAAGAATTAAAAATAGTTACCTCTTTCATCATCTTTTCTTCGCTTTTGTTCGGTGATTACCATAGATTCTTCCGTTCGATCCTGCATTATTATAACAATTTATTTAACAATAATAAATATATTATATAATAGTTAAATAGTAGATGATTGTACAAATTAATAATAAAATTAATTATACATTATATATTATAAATAATTATATAATTAATAAATAATTAATTTTTTTAAATTATATATAATTAATAAATAATTAAATTAAATTTATTTTTATTATTATATTATATTAAATTTTTATATCATATAAATAATTAATAATAAAATAATTACCCTTTTTCGTCCCTGTTTCTTTTCTCTACGCTGCTCCTTCTGTTCATCACGCGTTTTTCCTTTGCTGGAACGTTCTTTTTTATCGAGGACAGCCTCTGCACGCCTCCCTTCCTGCTAGATACAAAATATTAAATTTATGCGTCTTAGGAAAGACGAAAAAAAGAGATTATAATATAGATATATAATATAGATTCTATAATCACCTTCGGGGTACTCTCTATTTTTCTTCTCTTTGTATCTGAAACTAGTATCAATTTATATTAGAATATGCAAAAGAAATGAAAAATATATTTTAAAGAATATATCAAAGAAATCAATAAAATAAAAATATATATAATTATTGGAACAATTTAAAAATAGAAATATTCAACGTGTTCGATTGCTATATTAATTATAATACAAACCTCTCTCAGGACCTTCTTGCGTAGGTCCCGAACTAGCGCTACTATTTGACACACTGGAAAGATCTCGATCTAAATTATCTATACCACTGCTATAATAATGCTCCTCCTAAAAATGTAAAATTTTATATTAAAATTGTACATCATAAATTAAATTGTGAAAAAGGCTTGAAAAATATAATAATAAATATATATAAAAATATAATAAGTATATATATATATATAAAATATATAATATAAATAATATAAAATTTTGAGTAAATCTAATGAGTATTGAACAACATGTTAAAGTTACAGTAAAATTTAATGTTCAATTATTTTTAGTTTAAAAATATTTTTCATGCAATTTCTTTAGTGGCTTATTTTATGAAAAATTTAATATAGTGCTTTGTATTAACATATCACTTACCTTATAATATTTGCGATCTTTTTGTCTAATCCTTCCTCATCTTTTACTTCTTCTTTTTAATATATTTCTCTTTTACTTCCGAGACGTCTTTATTATCTTCCTTCTTCCTGAATTTTTCAGAGTTTTCACTATTCAAAGAATTGATATTGCTGTACAGTGAATGATTAAATTTTAGAAAATATTCAGTTTGAAATATACTCGTACGATATTTGTAAGATATTTGTATGCATAGCTATTTTTTAATAATTATACATATCTCCTAAGACTGAGATAAATAAAGTTACTGAAGACAAAACGTATGCACAAATGTTGAAGTTCAAGAAAAACATATTTAAAATATTCAAACAATCATAAAATATATAAATATAAATATTCGTATAAATAATTAAATATTCATAAATATTATAAACACTTATAAAATAAATTCTGACTTCTTGAAGTCCAAGAAAAACATATTTTAAATATTTATAAAATATTATATATAAATATATAAATATTCGTATAAATAATTAATATACTTAAATATTCACATAAATATTATAAACGTTCATAAACTAAACTTCCATGTATTGTTATAAAACTTATAATAAATTACGATAGGTGCTTATTAAACTCTCCAGTGTAATGCGATAGATGTATGCATCTTATTTAAGTTATATTGCACTTACTGATGCGTCTGATTAGACGAACTTCGTTTTTCTCGTTGCTCCTTGTTTTCTTTTTCCGGCCGAGTGTCTCCGTTATTTTCTTTCGTCGCTACTCCATTGCTAACTTTTTCGTTTGTATCATTATTCGTAGCATCTGACGTCTTTCCAGTCTGCACATGAATATGATCAATAGTTCTCTCAAACACTTTTACAATTTACATATAATTTTTATATACGCAATATAATTTCTTAGATTCTTTTAAAATATATACATATTTCTTAGATTGTTTATATATAATTATTTATATAATTATTTATATATAAAAAATAATTATTTATATATTTATATTTATATATAATTTCTTAGAAAATAATTTAATCCCCATTAAAGATTAAAAAGGAAGATACACATCTTTCAACATATTTTTTTTCACAAGAGTTTAAAATATAAATTACAGAAATATTGAAAGATATTTTTATACGCAGTTTTTAAAATTTAAAAATAATTTAAAATATAATTTTTATAAATTTTTCGAAAGATGTTTCTTTTATACATAGTATATAAATTTCTGTATGTACACAGCTATTTTATATTTAAAGTATAAAACACAAACAAAAAATTAACTGATGTAGCCTTAATATTCCACCGTAAATAAATGATGTATCAAGACTACCTTGTCGCCAACATGATGGAAGTCGGATTCGCGTATCATGTTGGGAGTTTTAGCCTTCAACTGTCCACTGTATGATGTAGCTAAAACATGCAAATCCTGACGCTGCCCACGCTCTTCCTCTCTTACCTTCTCTACCTTCCGCTCCAAGATCTGAGAGAGTTTCGCCAGGACAGGAAAATGCGGCAATATTTTGATCAATATTATCAGAGAATTTCTTATTTGAACATAATCCTTAGAATCTAGACATACTACAATAGCCTATAACAAAAAAGAATAATTAAATTATTGTCAGCATTGAAATAAGATACTTTATTAAATATTATAATAATTTAAATATAAGATACTTTACTGTATCAAAGATACATACATGATACAATACATTATATAGGGTGCCCCATTTATCAATTTCAATCAATCATCCCCAGAATTTTCTTTATTTTAACTGTTTAACTGTTTATTCTACCAATTGATTCCTTACATTATTTTATGCATAAAAATATTCAGGTAAGATTGTCGAAAAATAAATATTTTACGAGATGTTTTAAAATTATGTATATAATTTAAGTAAATTTAAATAAAATATTTTATCACTCTTATAACTTTTTATGCCGAAAGTTGCAAAGAATTAATTTACATTAAAAAATATAGTAGTTCCATAAAAAAAGACCTTCAAATGACCTTGAAAAGCACGCTTTACAAAAAAAAAATCTGTAGAACACCATCTGTTCCCCAAATAAATTCAACTTTTGATTGAAACATTTTGTTGTACAATAAAAAATGAAAAACTTATTGAAGATGATCAATAAAAAAAATATTCATTATTACGTTCCTAATACCTTTGTAATTTTGTAATGCCACTTGTGACACACGTGTCTGTAATTTTCAAATCCGACCATATCGTTTGCTTCGGAAAATTGATTGCTCACACGAAACTTGGTTACAAACCCGGGATAATTGCTGCATTCCTATGACAAAAAAAACATCAAATTAATATAGACGATAAATCTTAGAATTCAAAATTATATCTAAAAAAACGTATAATTATTTCTTTTAAACCATTTATTTTTTAAGTCTTAACAAACAGAATAATTTGTTAATTAATTATTACCTTATCAAATATGGCTTTCTCAGAATGCCATCTCATCACAGTTTCCAGCATGGCGCACAAAAATCTACCATACCGATTAGCTTCATTCTCTGTGCACGAAGTGACTGAATACGTAATATCACAGAAGAGCTGGAAAGATCAAATAATTTATATAATTAAATCTAACAAACTACAAATTTGTATAGTATATTCCAAGGTTGGGTAATAACTAGTTAATTAGTTGAAAATTAATTTTTAACTTAGCTTAATTAATTTAAAATGTATTAATTTTTAACTTTAACTAATTATTTTTGATCTTAAATTTATTAACTTTTTTCCTAAGTTAAATTTTTTTATCTCTGAATACTATAATTGTTTTTTTATAAACGTATTATTTTTAAATTAAAGTATTATTAATTTTTATGTCCATTTGTCATCAATTGTAATTACTAAAAAATATATTTCTATATAAAAATTAAAATGTCTTTGTTATTTGTTATTATAAATTTTAAAAGAATTAACAAACAAAATTCTAATTTAATAGAAATAATGTTTTGAAAAATAAACTTTTGATTTAACTTCAGTTAATTTAATCTTAACTTAACTGAGTTAATTTTTTACTCACATGCAACTTTTAACTTAACTAAATTAATTTTTCAAACAACTAGCTTTAACTTAACTTAATTCAAAAAAAAAAAAAAAAAGAAAAACATTAATTTACCCAACCCAATATAATATTCTTGAAAAAAATTTTGAGACATAATTTTTTTCAAAATAATTTATATTTTGTTAAGATCGTAAATCATTGCTACCAGAAGGAAATGACTTACGCGATCATAGCAAAGCAGGGTCGAAAAGTTTGCAGTCTTCAGGGAATGGATGGTATGTACAAATTTCGCACAATACATGGCGTCCACAGTTGTGAATGTACATCGCGGAAATAGGCACAACTGCAGAAATTGCGTAATCGTTTCGTTCTTCGCAGACTTGGCGCTTCGTGACAAGAACCATGTATCCTTCTCTTGTCTACAGAACAATAAAATGTATCAGCTTAGTTTTCAAAATATTCAGATGGCCTGAAACTTTTGAAACACCCCCCCCCTGTATAGATATATAATAAGACATTATGTATATTATTATATATCTCATATATAAAAATATTTTTGAAAAAGGTAGTTACATTTTTTACAATATATATTTTTTAATATAAAAAATGTGACTACCTTTTTCAAAAATATTTTTAAAGTCTAAAGAAAGAATAATGTAAAGAAACAATGAAAATGATGTGCATCAGTGTTTTACCTCAGGTACGCAAAGACTTTTTCGACGTGTTCCTCTTGCTTTTTCTTTTCGTCTTGCAGCTTCTCAATAAGAGTAGTGTACTTTTCCTGTTCCTTCTTTCCTTTACTTACATTCTAAAAATCACAAGATGCCAGTGTCAAATTCCCAGTTAAATTAGAGAAGATAAGAAAAATATTATTCTCTTAAGAGGATTAATGTAATAACGTTAAATTTTTGCAATAATTTTTGCGTTTACCATATCTTTGGAATCAGCCGTCTGCGCTGCAAGTTGCTTCAATTTGCTGATTTCCCTCTGATAGCTTTCCACTGGTACATATAAATCGTACATCGAGAGGGACCAGAATGTGACTAAGAATTGCGGTGATATGTCCTCCCATACTTTTGGCGGATGCAATGGCCTGACTGACTGGGCCACCGGTGCCATAACAGCTTGAGCTGCTTCTGCATATTTCAGTTGCTTCATAGCAGTGGACATCTTCTTGTAATTCGGATCGGCTTTACGAAGAGCGTCATATTTTATCTTCAAAGACAGAAAAAATTGATTATAGATGCGTTAAATTGATAAATACAATTATAAGCAATATTTATAATAAATATTATGTAGTAAATATTTTTGGGACAAAATTTGGAAGTGATTTAATAATCAGCTGTGATTCTCTAATGTACAGGGTGTCTAATTTTAATCGACTACCTCCAAAAACCTTTTTATTTTCAATTGTACATGTTTCAAACAAAAGTTCTTTGATTTGAAAGAAGATTAAAGATGGCACTACTGACTTTTTTCTGAAGAATACATTTCAAGATCATTTATGTTCTTTTAAATAGAACTGCTATAATTTTTTATATAAATCCTCGTAATTTTTGCATAAAAAGGTATATATTAATATTCTAAATAATCAAATAATCGATTTATATAAAAAAATATAGTAGTATAGTTCTATTTTAAAAAAACATAATGACCTTCAAATGAAAAGCGTCCTACAGAAAAAGTCAGTAGCGTCACATCTTCTGTCTCCCTTTTAAATCAAACAACATTTTGTTTGAATATTTGTTGCATAATCAAAAGTTTTTGGGGAGTGATTAAAATTGGACACCTAATATATATTTAAAATTGTTAGGTCAAGGAAATATTGCAGAAAAATTTAAACATATAAGTATATATGAATGACTCGCTCACATTTATGGCATGTGCGAACATCGGCCTCGCCAGAAAAAATGCAACATCGGCATGTATGTGATTATCTTGGAGCATAGAATGGATCGAAGGTAGTCGCTCCACGTATTCGTCTACTGTCATGGTCGATCCTAAGAACGTTCCGAATTGCACCAGCGTATCTTGACACTGATCGTACAACTTGCCTGTTAAAGATACGAAAAACAAAATTAATACAATTAATAAAATTAATAAAATAAAATAAAAATTAATAAAGTAAAATAAGAAGAAAAAAAGAGATAGCAATAAGGATTTTATTTTTATTTCTACTTGCCAACAAGTTTCAGGTGAGATTTATCTGTTTCTCTATAAACGACGCAGTGCTTCTGCTGTGCCATTAATAAGCATAAGGCGACAGCGAGATCGTGCTCGGCGAGAGCTTCCTTCAAACGCTGCGAGGATTTCTTCGTGTTACGGACTTGACTGAAGTAACCGGCCTTGAAGGAAATTATTTTCACACATTATTATTGATCTATGTACTGTCAAATTTTGAGACACCCTGTATATTTTTCCAAATAGCAAGCGTACGTTATTCTCATGTCAAATAATGTCATTAGACGTCAAAGTGACGTCATTTGACATCTAATGTCAATTTACAATTTACAACTTAGGATACGCCAAATTTTGCATATAATATATAATAAGATGTCCTAAAAGTCCTGCAACAGTCAAATATCTTGAAAACAAACCAAAAATAAATGTTTCAAATAAAATTAAAGTAATATTAGTGTGACTATAAATAGCATATAAAAACGTCTATTTTTTATTATATATTCATGTAGCGTTTATTTTATTAATATTATTACTTCATACTAATATTATTATTTAAAAAGCTCTACAAACTTCTTTTTGAAATATTTTTCTCAAAAAGCCTCTTTGTTTTCGAGATATTTAACTGTTGCAGAACACCCTATTTGGGACACCCTATATATTCAGAAAATGCCAGGACTTATACCTCATTTTTAACAAATCTCCACCCGCCATTGCATCTAATTGATCAGATGTCATTTCTTCGGCTGCTTCGATACCAGCCATCTTTTGTACTATTTCCTTTAATATCAGTAAATCTAGGCTGCAAACAGATTGTAGAATGTTATTATTATAGCAATAAATTAATTTAGTAATTTATTTTGTATTTAATAGCGATGGGATTAAATAGATACACATTTATTTGCATGTTTCGAATTCTCTATTACTTAAAAAAAAAAAAAAAAAATCAAGTAGATTCAAACCTGAACGACACAGATTCGAAACTCTCTGTAAGTACCTCAAAAATAAATATATATAATAATTGTTCTAGATGTCCTTTTTAAGTATTAAAATTTGATCCCATCCCTAATGTTTAATCAAATACAGGAAACATACCTCTTTTGAGCTTTAAGTTGATTTGCTACATACTGCAACAATCCTGTTAATTCAATGTTATATTTTTTGAATATCGCTCCGCAAAACGAAGCCAGAGACTGCAACCATAAGGATATACTGGTACCATCGTGCTTGAATCTGTCTCTGTCAGCACCAGCCAGCGCCTCCACAAGACAGTATCCCAACACGTCATACGAAATATTTGTCAAGTATTTTAAAGAGTCTACCACAGGTCCTGAAATATATAAAATATGTTATAATCATGTTTTTCTTCAATTAAGTTTGAACGTAACACTGTCAAATTTTAATATTGAATTTTAAATGCATACTTAGTCATTTAAAAAATCCTTTTTAAATAAATGTATATATACTTAATATAATTCACACAAACAAAATTATTATATTTTATTAAAATAAAAAAATTATATTTTAAAAGTTATTATATTTTATTTAAATTTAAAAGTTTTTGCAGGTGGTTAAGATAGGAGTTTAAAATTCTATATTGAAATTGCAAAATTAAAAATGACGAAAATAATATGGATATTAAAATTTAAAAATATTTAAATTTTTTTATAAAAATGGAAACAAATTATATATACATATATACATTTTTGCAAAGAAAATTAAATATTTTTAAATTTTAATTTTGTCATTTAAAAAATTTTTAATTTTAATATCGAATTTTAAACCCCTATTTCAGCAACTTCCAAAAACTTTAAAATTTAAATCAATGTAATTGTTTAAAATATCAATAAAAATGTATACATTTAAGATAAATATAATAACACTCTATCAAGATACGCAACATTTTATCAAGGTACTCCACATCCTCCTCTACGTACCTATGAGATTATCGTACAACTGGATCTGAATTAGAACATAATCAAAGAGCACACCCGGCGAGGAGTGGGTGAGCTTGCCTATGGATCGGCCGACCGGCTTGATGGTCTCCTTGCTGACCCGCTTCATGATCGACTTGATCTTCTTCTGGGCGTCCGCCCGTTTCCGCAGCAACGCCGCGTGCTGCAACGGGGTGTCGTTCTTCCAGCGCGCGTACAGGCAGTAACGATTTTGATAGGGATAGTACTTGAGGATGTTCCAGAGCTCCTCGGCGACGCAGCAGTTGCAGTCCATGAAGGAGAGCGAGGGCAGCAACGCGACGTCGAGGATCGTCAGCACGTCATAATACAAGCTACAGTTCTTGTTCAACGGCTGCTTGCTCGCGTCCAGGGGACAGTGCTTCATCACGGTGTGGCACAGCCTCATCACTTTGTACATCAGAATGGGATCGTGATGCAGATTCGGCCCGAGAACGATCAACATCGGTAGCAGGTGCTCGTGAATATCCTCCAGGTTGTGTATCAACGGCGGCGCCAGGGCGCTCTTCAAGGGCGGCACCTTACGACCCGGCAACTTCGGGGAAACGATGCAATGTCTGCAAAAATTGCGAAAACTCGTCACTTGGAACAAATTAAAACACCTATTGTATTTTGAATATGAATTACTTATATTAATATATTTTTAATTATTTTATTATTAATATATTTATATTAATAATATTTATATATTAATATTATATATATATATTTTTTAATTTTATATAATATAATAATTATATATACAACATATTATATTATAGATGCTAATAATATATACTATATTTTTTATATACTATAATATACTATATTTTAATATATTTATATGTATATATATTAAATAAATATATTAATTAAATAAAAATTAATTAATATTATACACTAAATAAATATATATATTTTTGTGGCATAATGTGCAGTTTTTCTGCTTAACTGTATGCGTGTGATTCTTTCTACAAGTTGCCTTCTCTTGAAATAAGCGATAAATGTGAAAAAGAAAATCATTAATGACTTACTTTCTGTACACGGGTTCGATAAGGGTCTGAATCATTTTGCACAAGGCTAAAGCTATGGGTCGTTGATCCGTAAAACAACAGTCTGGTAAACGATTGAATAAATTTTGTGCCACTTCCCAAGCTCCGATTTCCAGAAGAGCCTCGCATAATACAAATTTTTGATTGTTCGAATATTTGTCCTTTAAATTGAAAGAGAAATTATGCAATAAATAAAATTATTTATTCAACAAATAATTAATAAACAAATATTATAGTTAATAATTAATCATCAGTCAACAAATTCAGTTTAACAAATTTAATTTTTAAAAAATTGAAAATCTCGAATTTGTAGAAAGATTGTTCCAGCAAAACTAAATCTTTATCAAATTTGATAATAGAATCATATATATTTAATTCGCATTTAAAATAAAATTCCGACATCAAATCATGTTTTCATGGATTTGCAATTTTGAAAGCTTAATTATAGAGAAACCAGTGCACAAAATAATTAATACATTATTTATATATATATGAAATATATATATAATTATATATTTATATTTATATAATATTATATAAATATTACATATTTATATAATATTTATATAATATTATATATTTGTATAATATATATTTATATATATAATATATATATTTATAATAAATTAATTTTGAGCAGAGATTCATTCCTGGATACATTAAATAACAATTGAGTAAACTCAAATTTGTGACGCAATGAGTAATTAAATAAAAATGTCTTTTTTCTCGCTACTTGTGCAATCTCCTTCTCTTCCACAACATCCTCTTTATCCTTCGTCGAGATGACGCTCAATTTTCGCACATATTCCTTGGCCTGTTTCATGCCCTGTTCGTGATCCGATATGATAGTCTTATCATCCGGCACCAGCCAGGGCAATATGTCATCCAGTTTAATCACATTGTGCTGCAGCATAAGTGCAGTGACCTTCTGCAGGGAGAATGGGGTAACGTTGACGGTGGAGCAATACTTGAATCCCAGCACCTCGCAGAGTACCTGTTGATCACTCATGTACGAGCGTATTAAGGGAATAAATAGAGCATCATCTTGCGGTCGGTTTTCAAAAGTTTCCAGCAAGATGTCGAGCACTCTGTTAGGATCGAGATTAAAATAACCTGCAAGGACAATAGCTTATATTCTTATTGCTCCTCCTTCCAATTTTTGCATAACACATCAATTCCTTGAGACATTTGATGCGTAACCAGCAGAAAGAATTAAGATGTAATTTGTACCGATAAGGGATTTCACGATTTCCAGGCTCGAGGCTACCTCGTTGTCCGGGCGATCTTGATTTAATTCTACAATAAGCTTGGAATAACCTTCGCTCTCTTCACGAAATAAATTAAACTTCCTCTGCTTATAACTGCAAGATGGGGTGGGATGTTTCTTTAAAAGTCGTTTGTTGCCTAATAAATTTTCTAATTTTTGTATACATTAGTGTGAAAATACTCACTATAATTTTGTCTTCACTTTTATAAACTTGGTTTGAAAATTTTTGTTTTTCAAGGTTCCTACATCTTGCAAAGTTTCAATTTCTAAACGTTCTTTCAATATTCTGTCGGTCAAAAACTATGAGAAACATAAGAAGGAAATATAAGAAGTTGAAGTGACGTATCAAGAGTCTTGCTTTAATTAAAATAATAAATCTATTTTAAAAACTGTAATATATATCTTTTCTAATGTATCTCTTTCGCTAATTTTATAGTATTTTTAAAGTAAGAGTATATGTTTAAAAATAAAAAAAAAAAAAAAAAGATATGTACGCACCTTTTCAGACTCTTTCACAATATAATAAAAGTTGTTCCTTTCTTCATTATACGCTTCTGCATCAATTAAAGTAAATATATCTACTATTGCAGATGGTATTGCACCATCAAAATTCTACAAAAAAAATTTGTATACATTAATACATATTATTTCATTTTTTAACAGATTGTAACTTTAATCATTTTTTTTACAAAACTTAAAATAGTAAAAAGAAAACTTTATCATACCATAAGTTCACCTAATGTCTGAACCACACTGTCCTTTTTTATATTTCCATGGGTTCCATTTGATATTAATTCGTACAATCCGCGCTTCCATTCTATAAAAAAAAAAGTAAAATTTTTTTATTACATAGAACATTAAAAATGCACAATTATATATATATATTATATATGTATGAAATCAGTACAATAAAATCTGAATATAGAACATGTGTGAAAAAGTAGCAATGTATGAGGAACGAATGGAAAAAATTATAGTAAAAATTTAAAATAATTATAGTATACTATATATATTTTATTCTTTAATCTCTCTTTGCAATAATAGTCTCTCTTATGTATAAAAAAAATTTTTTATTATCATAATATTTATCACTGTAATATTTTAAATTCTACAAAATTTGTATTGTATAATATTATTACAAATTATTTTACATTTTATATTATATAAAACATGTATTTACATATAATATACAGGATGTCCGGTAACTAACGGACCAATGATTAAGGGCGGATTCTCTGGCCAATATATATATATATATATATACATAATATAGAAAAAAAATACAAAGAAAATAATACTTTAAACTTAAAAAAAACAAATTTCATAAAAATTGCAGTTGTTTTCAAAGAATTTTTCTCTTGCAAATTCAAAATATATATATACATATATATAGAATACTACATATTTTATAAATTTATATAACAAAAATATAAAGATACAATATAGAAAAGAAATTAAAAGTACTTAGAAAATAATAAAAACTTCAAGCTTAAAGAAAAAGAAACACAGATTGCTTCGAGATTGCAGATATTTTCAAAGAAATATTGTCTTGTTCCAATTCAAAATATATAAAATACTACACATTTTATGTATTTATATATATAATTACATAAATAAACGTAAAGGAAATTAAAGATACAAAGAAAATAATAAAAGAACTTTTACAAAGAAAACAATAAAAAACTTAAAAAAGAGAGACCTATCCATCCTCGCTCTAGCCCAAAGTGTATAAAATATTCATAAACAGTGGAATAAGTGGAAAAAAGATATTACTAGAAAACTTCGAGAATAAAATATATAAAAATTTCAAAACAATATACATGTTTCGGGCCAGTTTAGGAATAGATACAGATATTTTCAAAGAACTATCCTCTCGTTCCAATTCAAAAAATATAAAATACTATATATTTTATGTATTTAAATATATTTATATATATATATATATATATAAGGGGAATTACATATATATAAATATAAAAAGAATTAAAGGCACAAAGAAAGTAATAAGAAACTTGAAAAGAGAGACCTATCCTTCCTCGCTCCAGTCCAAAGTGTATAAAATATAAACATAAATAGAAAATAAACAGAATAAATAGAAAAGGTATTACTAGAAAATTTCAAGAATAAAATATATAAAAATTTCAAAACAGTATTAATGTTTAGGGATAGCTAGGTAAAAACAATAATGGTGAAGGGAAGAACGGCATGTTTAGACGCTTTTACAACGGACACACATATATATATATGTATATACATATATATGTATAAATGTGTGTATATTTACCTGATGCGTGGCCTTCCTTAAATTTGTGCTTGATTAGCTTGAGGCTGCAAACATGCGTGAATTGACAAGATTAAGTCTTCAAGTAGTGAGCGAGTTAACAGGAGTGAGATAAGTGTTTTCGCGAACCAGCAAAAGGCACCCTGTCGATCGCGTCGACCAGGTGACGCGCCAAACAACACCACACTTACAAATCGTTTCTTCCGTGTTTATCCCACGACTTCCACAATTCTGTATGCCATACTTTGCTGGCCATATTTTATTCTCTTTTTTTCTTTTCCTAATCCGGGCTTCCAAGCGACTTTCAATCGAAAACTTCTCAATGGGAATTAAACTCATCAGCTCGGCATCGCAGGTGCAGGTTAACGTGTGCGACGAGAACGTATGTATCTCTCTCTCTCTCTCTTTCTTCCTCTCTTCGATTCGCCAATCGCGTTCTCGAACTAAGCTTCTCGAGAACTCTCGATGATGAGTTCGAAAAATCACTCGTTCGAGCGATCGCGCTCGATCGACCAATCGGGATGATAGGAACTAGATTCTCCATGTTCGCAACAGCCAATCAGGTTTGGTTGCAAGAGTCGTTAAGAGTGTTTATTTTGTTTTGTATGTTATTATATTATTTTATTATATTTATTTTTGATTTTATTCTGCAAGCTTTTCACAGCAAGAAACACTCCAAGTAGCAAACTGACGTAATTAGCCGGGTCTACAATAAATGTAGTAAGCTTTAAGCCTTAAGAAATTGATCAATCACAGTCAATTGTTCTCCTCATTCTTGACTATGAATGATGAATTTCTTAAAGCTTAGAGCTTACACCTGTTGTAGATCTGGCCTAAACGTCAAATGACATCATTAAACGTCATTTTGAGTACGTTTAAAGGGCCTTCTACAATGGAGTGTCGTAGGCTGTAGTCGTAAGAAATTGACAAACCACAGTCGATTATTTCAAAAATAATCAATTGTGATGGATCAATTTTTTACGACTACCACCTACGATACTCCAGGTTTGTTCGCGTCGCATTGCTCCAACATGCTCCTTCTTACTCCAATACGCTCGAATTGGTGCGCTCCTCGAATTGGACCAATACGAGCGCATTGAAGTAAAAAGGAGCAAGTTGGGGCATGCGACGCGAACAAACCTTTCATTGTAGAAGACCCTTTAAGGCCGTTCTACAATGAAGTATCGTAGGTGGTAGTCGACCTAAAAATTGACCTATCACAACCGATTATTTTTGAAATAATCAAATGTGGTTTGTCAATTTCTTACGACTACAGCCTACAACACTCCATTGTAGAAGGCCCTTTACACGGCATCCTTAATCAGGTTTAATAACATCCGTAGTTGTAAGACTGGCCAATCACAGCCGTTCCATTCTTCAGGGGAATGGCTGTGATTGACCAGTTTTACAACTATGGATGTTATTAAACCCGATTAAGGGTGCTGTGTAAACGTACTCTTGACATCTATTGACGTCATCGACATTAAATTAAATTAATTATTAAATTATTAAATTAAATTAAGAATTAAATTATTAATTTACATTATTAATTAAATTATTAAATTAAATTATTAATTAAATTATTAATTAAATTATTAATTAAATTATTAAATTAAATTATTAAATTAAATTATTCATTAAATTATTCAATTAAATTATTTATTAAATTATTCGATTAAATTAATGTAAAATGAAGTTAGTAGTTCTTTGTAATTCTCAGAGCTGCCGCGCTGTGTCGCCACATTCTCTTTTCCCAAGAGATTTTCCCCTAAAATTTCCCTCCTCCTCCTGTTCTTTCTCGTCTCGGTGTTTGTAAAGAGGTAACCGCGATTGTGTTGTCAGATTTATAATCTATTAACATCTTATGGTATATTCTTCATAAATACTTAAATTCTACAAAATATTATTCCGTAAATCTTTCTCTCGCCAATTAATATCGTAGTAATTGTCATATCTACTTCTTTTCATCGTTATTTGACGTTTGACACGTGATGGATGCGTTTGTTGTTGAACGTTAGATTTTATTTCTTGCTATTAATTAGGATTTAATAAATTTATTGTGTCGCACGAAATAGTTATTATATTTTATTTTCTTTTATTTTTTAAGAATTACTTTTTTCAAAATATTGCTTAGATATTTATATCTGATTAACCTATTATATATCTCTCATTTATGCAATTTATAATTTTACAATATTTTGTTTCGTTAAGGATTAAATTTTCTTTTTTTTTTTTTTTTTTAATGATTCGTTGTTTAAATATTTATATTTGATTAACCTATTACATACATTTTTCTCATTTATTTATAATTTTACAACTAGATAAAAATGGCAAAGTCTTCTGAGAAGAAAGGAAAGAGTGCCATCAATGAGGTGGTGACTCGTGAATACACAGTGAATCTTCACAAGCGTCTTCATGGTGTTGGATTCAAGAAACGTGCTCCACGAGCTATCAAGGAGATCAGGAAGTTTGCGGAGAAGCAAATGGGAACGCCTGATGTCAGAATAGACACACGTCTCAACAAGCAGTTGTGGTCCAAGGGCATAAGGTGAGCTTGCGATAGAATTCAAATTTAATAATTTCACATTTACGTGCTTAAGTTATAGTAAATCGATATCCATTGAAAAGAAGTCTCATAAGATTGTAATTTCTCACTTTAATTAGCAGATATCAATAATTACTTGATGTATGAAATAAATTGTTGAATTTTTTAATGTAATTTTTTATACATAAACAATTTAGTTATTATAAAATTAATACTTTGTTGTTAGACAAAGATAAAGCAATAAATACGCAAAGTAATTTGCAATTCTTTTTTTATTTGATTTTTTTTTATATCTTTCAGAAATGTTCCCTTCAGAGTTCGCGTGAGATTAAGCAGGAGGAGAAATGATGATGAGGATTCTGCAAATAAGCTCTACACTCTCGTCACATATATACCTGTTGCGACGTTTAAGGGTCTTCAAACTGAAAATGTGGATGCTAGCCAAGATTAATGTACTTCTGTATAATAAATGATGACAAATTATTAATACGTGAGGTTTTATCTTAACTTTAATTTATACTATTTTTTTTCCATGATATTTGCATTATGTATCTTTTAGATTATTTAAAGGACAGTCTTTTATAATATTCTATTTTTAATTCTTCCAGAACTTTCTAGAAAATTAATATTGCAACTAGTATTTGTCTTTTTCTACACATTTATATCTAAAAATTTGAAAACTTTCCAGTAATTTTGATTAATAATGGAGATTTGTAGTTTTTTTTTATTATTATTCGTTTCTTTTGAGAGATAGTTACATATTTCTTACATTCTTTTTTTTTAACTATATTTTATTTCACTTCATGCAAACTTAAGAATTGTACAGTTTAACAAAAGTATTTTGAAAAATTTCCAGTTGCAAGAAAGCTATTTTAAAATATTTTATCCTATCGTAGTTACAATTTATGATATATTAGAGAAATTTTATTCCAATTGCACACAAAATTAAATTAATTTATTGTAATTGCATACAAAGTATTACAAAGACATAATCTTTGAAAGGAATATGTTATTGCTTAATTTAAAATTATTTATTACTAAATATAAGGTCTATTGTGAAAAAGTTACAAATTAGATTGAGGATTTACTAAATATAATTTGTATCATGTTTTCATGTTTATTCTTAAGCATTTTTTTAGATTGTTGAATCTAAAAAATGCTAAAACAAAATTAAAATATACATACATGAAGTTTTGCAAAAATCTAAATTTTTTTAAATTTAAATATTTATATCAAAATTCGTCATTTTTAATTTGTCAAAATTTTAAATTTATATTTATTCATTTAAAAAATCCTTTTTAAATAAACAATAAATTTTTTTGTTGGCTAAAAATTCTAACGATACTTAATTTCAATTAAATAAAATTTCTTAATTATCGAGAAATGCTTTTCTTTGCTAGGAAAATTATATCTGGATATATATATATATTATATACAGGGTGTCCGGTGACTCGCGTTTAACACGTTAATGAGAGATTTCTAAGGTGATTTGGAGACAATTTTTTTTCAGCGAAAATGTTCAGGCACCAATAATTTTTTAGTTATAAATGATTGAAAAGAAAAGCTTTTTTGTCAACTAAATCTTGTAAAATAAATTAACAAAACTACATTTTTTAGTTAATTTCAGGTAAAGTTTACTGTAATAGAATTTTAATTTAAGGCTTAGTTACATATATATATACATAATTTTAAAAATTGGGAACATTAAAAAAATGATGACCTTTCTCATCATTTTTACTGAGGAAAAATCGTTTCCAAATCGCCTCAGGAATCTCCCATTAACGTGTAAAACGCGAGTCACCGGACATATATATATATATATATATATATATATATATATATATATTATTTAAATTTAAAAGTTTTTGTAGATGGCTGGAATAAGAGAGTTTAAAATTCTATATTCTATAGAAAATGACGAAATTAATATGGATATTAAAATTTAAAAACATTTAAATTTTTATAAAAATAAATAATTTTTATAAAAATAAAATATATATATATATACAATATATATTTTTGCAAAAAAATTTAAATATTTTTTAATTTTAATATCCATACCTATTAATTTCGTCATTTAAAAAATTTTTCAATTTTAATTTTCAGCCACTTTTCTAAAAACTCTCAAATTTAAATAAACAATTTTTTAATATATCAATAATGTATAAATTTAGATAAATATAATAATTTTTATAATACAATAATGTTTAAATTTAAATAAATATAATTTGTTTTGTTCGAATGATATATATAATATATAAAAATAGTATATATATTTGAGAATACATTATGCAAACACTGTGAAAAATGAATCATTAATCGACCAGATTTACAATTTCAAGTGGCGCAACACATTCGTCTATATATGTACAATATGAATTAAAATTTTTTGCTTTCTCATTGAGCTTCTTCATCCGATTCCTATATCGTTCCCGAGGAGAACCGCGCAGGCTTGGCGCGCAAACTCGCGACATCCGCATTATCGTACGATATCGTAGGCCGCTGGAGACGCTGGATCCCATCAGTATGCGCTCGGTCTGACCCGGGCGCGGATCGCGGCCCCCGAAGAAGGTGCGAGGGTGCCTCCTCCTTCAAGGAGTCCAGAGCGATGGAGCTGCGCGAGGTGAATCGCGCGTACGGCACTGCGGAGGAAATGACGGAGCTCCTGCCGCAGCGCGACAATAACGCCGAGTACGAGAGCTACTTCATCGAGTACGCGATGCAGAAGGAGATGATCAATCGGAACCGATGCCCCGCGAGCCGACGATTGCTCAGCCAGGCCGCACAGTTGGACATCAATTTTTCCAACAGCAATCACCTCAAGGTCGGTCCTTGGCGGTCGTCGCATCGCGCCGAGGATCCGATGATGCTGCATCCTCATCAGGATCCCGATTGTCATCCGACGAGGCGCTTATTATATAAATCTATATACATACCTTAGTGTAGGATTTGTAAATTCGCACGACATTAATTAAAGAGCTAGATATTCGCGCTAATCTTCTGAGATCAGAAGATCTTTGCTTGGGAAATTGTAGAAATTTGAAGATTTTTACAAATTTGTGATAGAAAAATTTTTATTTAATATCTCGCCGTCTGCACGTCATTTTTTTTTTATAAACATAGTTATTTATTGAGATTATTACGAGCGACATTATGTATTACATAAGATTACATAGATGCTAGTTTAATGATTTTATTTTAGTTTTATTAATATTTTGTTTTATTTACATTTTTATTAATGTTTTATTATAATAATATATGATTTCTTAAAACGATGTGACTCTACATACGTTAATTAATTTTTTTACAATTAATTCATATTGATTGTTTATTATCATGCAATTCGAAAACTTGATAAAAAACCCAATTGTATTTCTAAAAAAATTTCCTATTTTTTCTTAATTTTAGCAATACAATTTTTTAATATGCATTTATATATTTTTAATATACAATTTTAATATATATACATTTTAATATATTAATTGTTAATAAATTCCCAATTATTAATGATAGTCACTAGTATTTAAATAGGAGTTTTAGAAATAATCGACCAAACTAGCAAGTAATAATCGTTTATTAAATTTCACGACGTTTCGACCATATGGTTGTGATCCTTTTCAAGTGAGACTAAAATAATTTATTACATACATTTTATTATTATCAACGAACTAATATAAAATTCGCAATTGGAAACGAACGTAATACAAGTAAATTTAGTAATAATTAACTCATCATACAGCAATAATCAATATCAATTTTTAGTGAGAAATATATACAAGCCAAATTAAAATTAAATTGAGATTAATTGTTAAATTAATTATTAATATATTAAATTTATTTAATATATATTTAAATATATATCAAATATATATATTTAATATATATATTTAAATATATATTATATAAAAATATATCGATATATTACTTTTATTTTTAATAATTTCCTTTATAAATTACATATGTATGTATAAAGAAATTATAAATATAATATAAAGTATATACATTTTTTTTAATTACAATTTTTTTTATTTTTGGAGCAAATGAAACTATACATATTAAGATACAAAAAAACTGAAATATTACAAATAACAAAATTAAATCATTTAATATATATTTAAATATTATTATAGATCTATAAACAAAATCTGTTAATTAATCCATGAATATATGCGCTCCTCAGGATTCACCATGTGCCGGAATCAGCATGATCCACACCTCGAGCGAAAACTGGCCTCCCTCGAGGAAGCGCGAGGAGGCGACGGCGTTGGAGAATCTCAGGAAGAGAGTAGAACAAAGCAAATTGTATAAGGCAGACCGAATCACCGATCATCCTGTTGCACCCACTTCGTCCTCATTCAATTACGAACAAACTCAACAACAGCTAGACAATCGGCCAAAACTTCTGAAAAAGGTAGGTGGTTTAGACATCGTGGAAACTTAAAAATAATTTTATTTTATAAAAAAAAAATAATTTTACCAGACTTTATTTCATATTAAATAAAAGTTATAAATTAATTTTTTGTTAATATATATGAATATTTATATTTTTATATGGTATATGTAAATACATATTTAGTATATTTTTCTTAGTATATATATATTTTTTTCTTTCTTGAGATAAAATAATATTTAACAAAATTATAAATATTTTTAATATAAATTCATTTTATTAAACAAATTAATTTTTATATGAATTTATACATGAGTATGTATTTATATATATTTATAATATATATTTTTTAATACATACTTTCTATAATTCTATATATTTTATATAAATATTTTTTAGTATGTATATTTAATATTTTTATAGTATACATTATAGTATACATTTATAGTATACATTTTATAGTATATTTTTCTTGAGATAAAGTCATATTTAGTACACTATTAAATATAATTTATTTAATCAAAATTATTTAATAATAATTTTTATATTATTTTAAAAATATTTTTGTTTTTATTAAATTTAAAGTAAATTGAATCTTTTATTCAACATATACCTAAGTATAATAGATATAAAAATTATAGATGTAAAAATTGTCATGTTTTGTTGTCAATAATCTTGAATTATGTCACATTTTATTGTCAAAAATCTAATATATAATTAAAACAAATTGCGAAATAAAATTAGTAATTAATAAACAATAACTGTAAGAACACATCTATGATTACAAACTTGATGAGTGAAGCATTAAGAATAACTGGACGAAAACGCTACATGGGATGTTTCTTTATAAGTTCGCGGAATATAATTTCTGTTGTGTCTTTGGTTCATTCGATGCGATGCGACTGTATTTTCGAAATAGAATCTGAAATCAAAAGTGCGAAGGAGCACGCGCACAAAAGTACTTGGGTCGATACTTTAGAATTCGCATGCAGGAACGGCGCACCGATATCTCAGTTCCTATGTATACATATGTTATTTTGTCTCCGCTTGGAAAATTACATCGTCGAGTCTGTTTTAGTCAAATTTTTAATTTCGCCAACTTTTTCAAACACTTTATAGCTAGTCGTATACGAAATTATTCGATTTTAGAAGCTGCAGTGTTCTTATAAAAATTAATTTTCCTCTCTTTGTAATGTTTAAGATTGTAAGTTAAATTCTTATAATATATTATGAGAAAAAGAAAATTAGATTAAAAATAAATACAAATTAAAGGATTTATAATTTAGAATTTATGAGGATTTGATAAATTCTCATAAATTTACTTTGAACTGTTTGATTCTTGAATCTAAGGGAATTATAAATTGAAAGAATATTCAGAAATCAGTACTTAGCAAATATTTGTAATATATTTTGAAGAAAATGAAAGCAAATAGTAAAAATTTAGAAAAATTTAAGAATATTCAGATATCAAAAAGTAGAACGTATATGAAGAAATTATAAGAAAATTATGAGGATTTTTCAAATCCTTATAATATATTTTTCTTATAATTTTCTTATTAATCTTTATAATTGATCAAATCCTTATATTTTATTATAAAGATTTGAGATATATGTATATATGGTATATATATATATATATATATATATATATATATATTATAATTTTCTTCGAATTGTTTGATTCTTGAATCTAATGGAATTATAAATTGAAAGATTATTTAAAAATCAGTATTTACTAAATCTATATTGAGGAAAAAAAATTAGATTTAAAAATATAAATAAATTTAAAAATTGAAGGATTCAAAAAAAAAAAAAAGTATTATGAGGATTTATGAAGATTTGATAAATTTTCTTCAACTTTTTAAATTCATAAATCTTAAGGATGATTTATAAAATGAAAGATTCAAAATACAAAATTAAAGGAAATTTATGAGGATTTAATATATATAATAAGAATAAGAAAATTAGATTTTAGAAGAAAATAAAAGGAAATTAAAAAAAATAAATGAATAATTTTTAAATTTGATTTGATGATCTAAAAATTCGAGAAAATTCAAGTATTGGACATAATTTAAGAGATCAAAACATTTAAGAATATTAAATTTCAAAGATTTAAAGATCTGCAAATTTTATTTAAAAATTTGAGACTGAAAATTTTGCATTTTGATTTGTACTTTTTAATAAGTAGTTGAAAAATCAAGATCTGCATGTTATTCAATAAAATGAGTAGGTGTCTTAAAAATTATAGAAATCTAATGAATAATAAAATAATATTTAACATGTAGAGGCTTTATTTAAACAAAATATTTAAAAAAGTAATTCTTTTTGTCAAAAATATATTCTTTTAATAATAAACATGTGATAAAGAAATTAAAGAATATTAAAACTGAATAACAACGTTCTAAATAATCATATACGTAGTTGATCATCGAAAGTCGTCGAAACTATTGAAACAAATTTTTATTAAACAATTTTTATTTTTACATATATCGTTCTCAATTAATTTTAAGTGGATTTTTCGAATTTTTATTTTTCCACAAGTTAGTCAAAAAACAAAATAAAATTGTAAAAACTCACAACGCTTAAATTCAGAGTTCTAATATTGCAAAAAATAAATTACTGAAAAATCCTCTCCGAAAAAGTGTGTAAGATGAAAAATACTTATTTTAATATCTTAAAATTTTCTCATTTGTATTTTATTATAAAAAAAATATTTTTAAGAAGGATAAAAAGCATTTTTAATTATGTATTTGTTTAAATAAAAATTCTACACGACGTTGAATGATATTCTATTTTTCCTTACAGTCCTGCAATTTCTCTTAAACACGCGAGATGTATTTTTCAACTTTTTCATTTGTATTTTATTATCAAAAATATATATTTTAAAGAGAATAATAAAAGCATTTTTAATTATGTATTTGTTTAAATAAAAATTTCACACGACGTTGAAAGATATTTCATTTCCCTCACAGTCCCGCAACTTCTTTTTAAACACGCGAGATGTATCTTTTAAAATTTTTAATCTTATTATCAAAAATATATTTTTGAAGGAGGATAAAAATCATTTTTAATTATATATTTATTTAAATAAAAATTTTACACGACGTTGAAAGATATTCCATTTCCTTTACAGTCCCGCAACTTCTCTTAAACACGCGAGATGTACAGAATGAATAAAGTATGCGACATCGCGTGCGGCATATTATATCGCGTATAAATCAGGTGAAAAGTTTTATATTGCGTGGCTTCTCGATATCTCAGATATCTCTAACATATCTCACGAATTTTCTTTGCAGATACTGAGTAACCGGCCGATGAGTATCACGCACGACAGGAGCGACCTGGAGACCGACTGGCGCGACAGCGAATTTATCACCGAGTGCCTTTGTTGGCACAATGTCTATCGACAACGGCATAACGCACCCCGTTGACCATGTCGCCGCAGGTAAAAAAAAAAGGAATAAAGAGAATGAGAGAAAACATTTGTAACATGTGTCGCGAGTTTGAAACGATACTTGTTATGATTACATGGTTTAACAAAAATATGTAAAAATATGATATTATTTTAATTTTTGTAATTGAAGGATTTAGAAATATAAAAATTTAAAGGATATTTATGAGGATTTATTAAATTGAAGGATTCAAAAATAAAAATAATGAGGATTTATTAAAAATTTAAAGGATATTTATGAGGATTTAATAAATCCTCATAAATGTCTCTTAATAAGCCATAAATAAATCCTCATTATTTATTAAATCCTCATAAATGTCCCTTAATAAGCCATATCCTTTAATTTGTTGCTATGAATCCTTTAATTCGTTTTTATTTTAATTTTCTTTTTCTCATAATATGAGGATTTTCTCATATTATTTCCTTTCCTCATATTATGAGGATTTGATAAATCATGATTTCTGAATCCGTTAATTTATAATCTTTTAGATTCAATAATTAAACAGAAGAGAATTTATGGAGATTTATCAAATCCTTATAAATTATAAATCCTCATTTTTAATTTTTAATTTTTAATTTATTAAATCCTTTGTTTTTATTTGTTAAATTAATATTCTTTTCCTTATAGTATATTATATAAGGTCTCGGGTTTGATTCCCGATTCAGCGACTTTCGGGTCTATATTTTTCTCTCGTGTTTATTTCTTTATTTTTTTTAGGGGGGTATAGGGGTTTATGAAATTAAATCTCAAGTATGAAATAATTCATATTTAAAGTTTTGGTAGTAAACCAAGAATAATATGTGACTTGTGCACATTTTCGTTTATTTTCCAACGAAAAATTAATTTTTGTTGGAGATGTACGCAAGAAACATTCGAGTATAGCTCTTAGGCCTTTCTTATTTGTATTTAATATTTAATTAATATTATATAAGGTTTTGATAAATAATATCTAAATCCATTGATTTAATAAATCCTTTAGATTCAAGAATGAACAGTTCAAAGATTTATGAGGACTTATTAAATTCTCATAATATATTATTTTAATATAATATTATATATATATTTAAATAAATTACATATATTATATATATTAAATAAATATATAAAAATATATAAAAATAAAATATATATATATAAAATATATTAATTAAATTAAAAAAAAAACAAGTTATTTTTCTTACATTATATCATCGCATGTACTTATGTATATTACTGTCTTTGCAGTTGTGTGAGTACGCTCAATCGTGGGCGAATCATTTGGCGCACACGAATACGTTCTACTACAGAAATGATCGCAACGTAGGTCATAATCTTTATTGTCGCCCCGGGGGCGGCGTTCCCGGCGATGTCACAGGACAGGAGGTCGCGTCCTACTGGTACTCGGCCGTGAAGCAGTACGATTTTCTTAAGGAACCAGATGTTCTCCACGCCAACGTTAATGCGGGTAAAAATATGTTTTTTTTTTTTTTCGAAATATATCAGAAAGTTCGACGTCATGAAAACATTTGACTCTATTTGCGAGATATTTTTAATATCACTTTTACTTATGGGGTCTCTCTTACGGAAATAACTGATTAACAAAAAGCTTTCACTTTCCAGGCCATTTCACCCAGCTGATATGGGCGAGCAGCCGCTACTTCGGGGTCGGGAAGGCTCACAGCAGGAGCGGCAAGATCATCGTGGTGGCGAATTATGAGCCGGTGGGCAACGCGTCCGGTCAGTTTCAGAGCAACGTGTTACCCCCATTGCCGGAGAACGTGAACGCGGTGCTGATGTCACCACAGGCGACGCCCAGGCTGGTGGTGCCCCGGGGAGGCGGCAATTACGAGCTGCTGAGGACGACGGCGACGGCGACAGCGCCCTTGCCTCCGTTGTCGGACACCGCGTCCACCGGCAGCGACACCATGTCCGTCAGCTCGGGCCAATAATACTACCGAGGTCGCGCAAAATGCCTTCTCTGTATCTGCACGCGATGGGCCGGACGCTGATGAGATCCAAGGGTGGCCGAAGACTTGTCGCGTGCCGCCGCGAGTCGAAGACTTCCGGACACGCGAAACACGATGACCGATATCTCTGTCGCGAGCCGATGAGGTTTCCAAGGTCGTTCGAAGGTGAAAGTTTTTATAGGGGAGACCTTCGTAAACAGGGTGTATATTCCCTGGAAAACCTGGAATTTTGTTCTTGAAAAATCCTGAAATATTTGATGGGAATTTTTAAAAAAATTGCCTCTTTAATTTTAAAATATAGTTTTAAAGTATATAAAAATTTATTAGTTTTATATAAAGTATATATATTAAAATATATTTTATTATAATATAATACTATATTACATTATTAATTATTATATTTAAAAATACTTCATTTATGTTAAAAATTATGTATAACAAATAATTACTTTAATTTTACCTGGAATTTTAAACAAAAGTATCTGAAAAATCATGGAAGTCTCAGGGAATTTATTTCTAAAATTTGAGTATACACCCTGGTAAATTAGTTGACCTGCTGAAGATGATGATCTTTATTATATGAAGTGGCTCTCTACAAAAATGTCGGTCGTCAGGTTTTACTGCCCTCAACTACCGCTTGCAAAAGCAGTGATAATCAAAAAGTACATCGAGCTTCGTCTTGATAGCTGATAGTACGTAAATGCGATTATTAGATCAAGCGGAGATCAATCTGCGATGATCTGTGATTATTGACAGTGGCGTAGCTATTTTAATTCGCTTATCTGCTCTGCACGTGATTAAGAAATGTCATGCATAGGCAAAAAGATGTTTGAGGAGAAATGGACATACAAACTTGGAGGAATAAAGGGATATCTCGAGAAAAGCGATTATACAATCAAAATTCGGTTTGAATTAAGGCTCCAGGAATTGTGACGTCAGATAGCTTTAGCAAACTTTTAAGATACCTCTAGAACTATTTGATCCTTTCCCTTGACAGTCAAGTAACAACTGTAAAATGATCGAGATGTCACTTTGATTGACTATGAGTATGATGTTGATTGATTATAAAGGGAAAAAAATAGTTTTCCAGATATTTTAAGAGTGTGCTAAAGCCATCTGAAATGTTGTTTCATCGAAATATATTTTTATTTCGAAACGGCATCTAAGAATTTTTTACGTGTGCTTTATCGTCTCTGACGTCACAATCTGACACGACCGCGGCGAGGACCCAGGAGCCTTAAAAGAATAAAGCTAGAATTATAATATTGAATAATATAAATATAAAATAGTATAGCAAATACCACTCATATATGAGAAGAAACTTATATTTCTTATATAATAATATAATATCTTATATAATTAACCTAGTCTTTTTGAACGAATGCAAGAACCTCTTAAGATTTACTGTCTATTATTATACTTGTGTATCTGACTAAAAATTCATTTCAATAATATCATTGATTCGATGTCATTTTAAATCGATAAAATAAAAAATACATTTTTAGTTTAAAATGTATAAATTATAAGCGACTTAATTTTATTGATTTTGCATATTTTTATTTTATTTTTCTTGAAATTAATTGTTATATATAAATTAATAAAATTTTTACTATTAAAGTGACAACATTATTCTAACAATTTTTAGTTGGATACATGACAAAAATATAATATGCTAAACATTTTCTTTCTTTTTAATTCTATTAAAAATTACTCTCAAAACGACAAGATAAAAATACATATATAAATTTTAATTTTTATTATGATCAGATAAAAAATATATTTTTTTTATTATGATATTGTGCATTTTTAGAACGGGGCTGTTTTTTAAATAGTTGCGTCACTGTCCGTAATAAATAACGGAAGCTCAACTTTAGTATCACTATATGTATTTCCGGTTTGGAAAAAAACGGAAACGACTGTATTAAACTCTTGTTTTGAGGCTTTAAGTTTGCGTTTGCGCTGATTATTCGTTGCGTGGGATCACGCGTGCAGGAAAACGAGAGAAACAAAAAAATTATCGAAAAGAACACCAAAAAATACTCTACACGCTTATTTTGTATATGTCGGTTTGGAGGGATGGGACTCACTCGTTTAAGGGACTCGTATTGTAAGATATACATATAATAATTGTATATGCGAAGTGATATAGTTCGAAGAGCCTAAAGCGAGACGAATTTTGCGCCTATAGAGCAAGGAAATGTAATACTTTGCACATACTTTTCCGTCCTGTTATACTGGAGATCAATGGTTTTTGCACGAGGATAGACGTTGAATTTCTTATAGCCTTTAGTATTAAACAAACGTTCCTATCGAGCGACGAGGAAATGTAGGAATTCGTCTGGGAAGATTGTAAAGTCGAATTAAGATCGTAAGAGGGCGAGATTGCAATCACGATGTATCATTTTTACGATTCTATTTTCTAATGTGCTCAAGAGAATTTTTAAAATGTTTATTCTAAGACAGAGGAGAATAGAATCTGACGAGGAAATTGTAAATCTGAAACTTCTGTTTTTGATAAAATTTTATACATATAATAGCGAAGATAAATGAATTTTATAAATTTTATTACATTATATATATATTATTTATATTATTTATTTATATTATATTAAATATTTATTATATTATATTTAATATTATTATTTTTAATATTATATTAAATATTATATTATATATATATATATATATATATATATATATATATATATATAATAAATATTTATTATTTATATTAGATATCAAAAAATAGTTTACACAAAAATTTCATGGTAAGAACGATTCTATTTAATTACATGAATAATATAAATATTTTGAGAAAATAATTGTGAAAAAAAATTTTATTCTTTGAAAAGAAAATATTTTTTCAGAATTTTACTAATGCGATTAAATAGAAGTGTTCTTATATTATATAAAATATTTTTGATATCTGGAATACTTCTCAAGATATATGAAAAAAAATTAAAAACCGCTTTACATATAAAGGAGTGATTTCACCCCTTAGAATCATTTTTGGATCGCATAAAAAATTTCTAAATTTATCTATTTATCCTCCTTGTATATATGTAAAGTTTCATCAAAATCAGAATTTTCAGATTTGTGAGGTTCTTTGTGAGTGAGACTTGAATAAAATAAAAAAAGAGCATTGTTGGTGGAAGAAAAAAATAAGGTATATAAGATATCAATTTCGTATACTATGAATTTAAAATGAAAATTAGAAGCGAGGCAGAAACGGCTTATAGATCTATATTCATATCCTATTTAAAAGCACTAAATGTCAGGTGTGAATATAAATTTTTTTAGTGATTTAATTTAGAGTATTTTATCTTCACTTAATAAAACGATTTACTATTTCAATAAAATCTTGAAAGAATAGATTGAAAATAGAACTAAACGCACTTAAAAAAATTCTAGGACAAAAATTGAACATAATGAGGTCTTTAATTATCGATTATGTAAATCTAAATAATATTTAAAGATGATATATTACTCATTTTGAAAACGACAATTATGTCAATGAAGATTACTTCGTTCAAAAGAAAAGGAACGCACTAAAGTCTAAAGTCTGCCACAGTGATAATCATTATTAATATATATTATATATAGAGACGGCTAGCTGAATATAATTGCGTTTAATCAATGATAATTTTAATCAACGATAAGTATACGGTACGAGAGAAGAAATCGATTCTCTTTCGTTTCTCAATTCTTCCCAAATATAAACAAAAACGCTAAAGGACAAACAGAAGGTGAAACATTTTTAAATCGACTCGATTGACAGACATTGTAGTCGCTTCGAATGTTGTTGCATCGATTTTTAGCATCCTAAATAAGATATACAACACCTGTGTAAGATATATACAAATTGTTCTTCGCGTACAATGAGAGATTATGCATATTTATTAGCGATGGGATTAAATATCTCGCAAATAGGTTCGAATATATTTTCATGATTTCGAATTTTTATGATTATTTAAAAAAAAAATATATATATATTTTCAAGTTCGAACCTGGACGAGATAAAACCTACCTCGAAAAACAAGAGCAATATATATTTTCAAGTACATTCGAATCTAGATCAAATATATTTGAATCTTTTATGAGTATTCATGTAGTAAATGACGTTATTTTGACGTTTAATGACATCATTTGGACGTTTAATGATGTCATTTTGATGTTTATGACGTCATTTTGCTACTTGCGAGTACTTATGAGAAATTATAAGGATAGATTAATGTATCTGTTAGTAGAATAGAAAGCTAATATTATATAATAATTTTTTTAACTTATTGTTCGAGTATCATTTGTAAAAGATTCGATTTTTTACAATAGAAAATATTTACAAGTATTTTTTCGAATCTTTTATTGATACTCGATCTAAAATTCGAATATATATAATTATTCTAGATTCAATTACTATAATCCAGATGACAAGCATAATACGTCATTTTAGCGTCTAATGATGTCATTTTGACGTCATTAATATCTTCTCAAGTAGCAAACTGACGTCATTTAATGTAATCAGTTTGCTACTTGAGAAGATATTAATCGAATCCTAGAAAATGGAAATGATTATTAGATTTGACTCTATTTTTAGTACGTATATATACATTGAACTAATATCCCATCCTAATATTTACAAGACAAAACTTGGATCGTCAGAATCTCTCAGGTACGCGACTTTTATTACAAGATGATATATAAAGATACATTAACAGGTCTTGTAATTCGACCTTGTTGGCCTCCCGATTTGCTAGAAAATAGATTGTTATGTATATATATGTATATATATATACATATATGTATATATATACACACACATATATATATATATATATATATATATATGAAAGATATAAAAATTATTTTCTACAGATAGATATATTGTTATAGAAGGAAAATTATTTTTTCCATGCGTAGTCGATTAGAAACGCGCTTTTTACGATGAGAAGTAGAAATGTAAAGTGTAAATTATCTAAAAAGAGATATATATATTATGTATATATATTTCATCCCTTTAATTAGATATATCTTCGCTTCTATAGGATCTTATGCGGATGTGACGTGTTACGTAAAAACGATCAAATCGTTGACTAATCAATATCAAGTGATTTGAGAAATGAGAAATTTATTTAATCAGTTAGTTCAATCGTGCTTTAAATAAAATTTAATGTGAAATTATTGCCTGGGCTCACACGAATAAAGAACGACGTTTCGCAATGTCGATAGTAAATATTTAATATAGCGTATATATAGGATTAAATGATAAATGCTCGATGTGATAAATAAATATAGTGGCTAAGAGAGACTTTTTCGTTATAATCTCAAGAGGTTTACTGAATCAAATTATATATCAAGTTATACGTCGGAAGGATCGACGGGGTCGAAAAACACGTTATTGTTCGCTTTTGATTTTGCCATTCGATGCATGCAAATTAAAAAAAAAAATAAGAAAAAAATATGCGAATGAAGGAAGATATTTTAATGCATATGTAGAAATGCTCATCTGTTGACAATCGATACTGAGACGTCGTTTCATTTATATACACATATAATATAGTAATAATTTGCAACTAGGAGCTACATATTTTCTTATTATAAAAACAATTGTGTTTTCTTTACAATAATTGATTTCTCTCATTATTTTGTGTATAAAAGTATTATGAGATAAGATTATCGGAAAATGAACATTTTACAAGATATTTTATAGTTTAATTAATAATAGTAAAATTATGTCAAAGTATACGAAATATTTCGTAAATTATTCTTTTTTTGATTATCTTATCCTTATAACTTTTATATGAAAAAAATAAGGTAGTTTTATTTAAAAATCTAGATTGACCTTCAAATAATCTTAGTTAAAACTCAAGATTATCAACTTTTTCCCCCTTGAAATTTTTTATTTTGTATTTTGATATAATATACATATATACATTAACTCGCAGTGATATAAAATCAATCACGCTTAATTGTTTAATTAAATTATAGCAAACTTTATCAAAATGCTACAGGAAAAAAAGAATGTATTAAAGGTATAACAATAATTTTTTAAATCTTTTATTGACGTGATATATCATATTATAGAAATGTACTTTATTAGCTTTAGGGCAACGTTTTTATTTTTAACTATTTACCCCTATTAATCGATTATATAAGTAAAATAATATCAAGAAAAAATTTAAAGATGGAACGACGTTAATGTACTCGTTATTGTTAAAACGCAGGGCATAAGCCTTAACAAATGAATTAAATGTATCGCAAGCCAACGCGTTTTATAATGATAAATGTTAATAAAATTATCTCTTTGCAGAAAACATTTCTTGCATATATAAGTTTTATCCTGTTCTCTCTTTCGATATGTTGTATATTAAATTGTTGCAATATTTTTATAGCGAACGAGAAGATATATATTATGTAGAGGAGAATGAAATAAATATTTTTTATGATGCAAAATTCAATATTTTTTTATAATATTAGATAAGACAAGAAAATTATTTGGCATATATCGATGAAAAGAAACAATATCTTAAATAATTAAATAATCGTATTTTGCTGATAGTATATGAAGATAAATATGAAGATATATGTATATATGTACAAAGCTAAATTCACAATATACGTTTTTACAATATTATAATATAAGAAAATTATTTACTGGGTTATATTGGTTAAAAGGAAAACAATATCTTAAATAATTATATAATAATCAGCGTACTTTGCTGATAGTATTTGAAGATATAAAGATACATGTATGAAGATATATATATATATATATACATGAGAATACATGTATGAAGCTAAATTCAATCATTTCTTTTGCATTATTATAAGATAACAAAATTTATATTTGATATATATTGGTGAAAGGAAAATAATATCTTAATTAAATAATCGGCGTATTTTGCTGATAGGATATGAAGATAAATATGAAGATATATGTATGAAGCTAAACTTAATAATTTTTTGCATTATAAGATAAAAAAATTTTAATTTGACATATATTTAAAAGAAGAACAATATCTTAAATAATTAAATAATTGGCGTATTTCACTGATATAAAGATAAATAAATGAAGCTATAAATGTATGAAGAAAAGAGGATTTCGAAAAAGAAGAAATACCGAGTGTTTTGAATACAGCTAACATATATTTTCCATCGTATATCATATTTTGCTAATAACATTACATGATACAATAATTAAAAATATACTGTACTTTGCGAAAAATTAGACAGTCGGTACTATAAGTAAAATATAGTATTAATATTAATATAACAATCGCGTGTGTGACGGGGTAAAGTTGTCTCTTTCTCTCTCGGCAATCAATCGATATATATCCTCGCCTCTCCTTTTATTTCTTTTTTTCCCTACAAGATATTATGAAAAAATAGTTTTACAAAATATATAGTGCAAATATATATACTCGTTCTATACACAACAAGAAGGGAGAGTCTTCTCGATCATCTCTCTCTTCTTCTTCCTTCTTTCTGTCTCCTTCTTTCCCTTTCCCTTCTTCTCTCACTTACTATATTTGATTAACAAGTTTGGGCTTCACTTCGACGTGGATATACATTTGAATACTCTTCTCTGTCAATAATAATTAATTCCTATTAATATGTCGAGTCACCTCGATCGGCTCGATATGGCTAATTAAAATTCAAAAAAGATTTAAGACTACGGACGATAGATCCTCGCTCGCGCAATTAATTGTACAATTACAGTGTATTGTTAAAAAAAAATTCGTTGTGATCACGAGCAAAATCATTCGTCGTACGACAGCGTATAATAAGCTGCTCAGTATTATCACTATCGCTCCCAAGTAGAGGAATAGATGTAGATAAAGCCGGAACAATAGATCTTGACAGAGGCGCATAAAAGTGTGTAACAATATATAAATAAAACAAAAAAATGCATTTTTTATTCTAAATACGAAAAGCGATAATTATTGAAATCAGAATTCTGAGAAAACAGAAAAAATGAGATACTTTATTTATGGAAAGAATTTATAATAGGCATCAGCCATTGTTTTTGGAAAAGAAGATCATTGTCTGTGATGATGAATACTCTTTCCAGTAACAAAATATAGCGTTACTTGTAACTACTTAACTTTCCTACTTGCTATTTTTAATTTTTTTTACCACGAGAGGGCGGAACAGTCTATTTCAACTTTGTCGAAATTTAAATTTTTTTTATCTATCTTCAACTCCCTAAGGAGTTTTTAATACCGTAGAAAAGAAAATTAATATTAGTGTAATATTAGTGTTGCATTTTGTATGCATCTCTTTTTTTTAAATTTTTATATATAATATTCATGAATTTAGAGGAGAAAATAAAAATATAAAAGATGAATCAATTTTCGCAAAATAATACTCAAAATTTTCAAGAATACTGTTGAAAAAAAGAGCCTCTCTTTATAATAATTTTTGTTTCACTCTGTCGTAACACAGATTGGACGGCGAGGAATGCAATAAAATATTGCATAATTTCAACAAATTCACCAAAGCGCCGAGTTGGAACGTGAATATCTGTCGGCTCAACCTGCGTGACGATTTCTATTGCGCAAAAATCGGCTAACACACGATCTCCATATTTGTACAGAGTTTACTCTACATAAGTTGTTCCTTAAATCCTAATATTGCTACGCTTTGTTCTTCACATTTTTATTAGATCACTAAGCTCTTTTTTGGAATACTGCGTCACTATCCGCCACAAATATCTTCTCCAAATGTGAAAGAGTCTAAGAAGAATTAAAATTTAAGGTCTTACAATTAAATATTTCAACGATAACATTTTGATTATCACTTAATCGAGAAGACTAATACAAACTTAGAGTAGAGTGAGTCATTTAAGATCTCAATTAATCATATGCTGTAATTCTTTTGTAAAATATATATCTCATAAAGTATAAGTGAAAAAATTATTTATGAATTAATTATACAATGTATATTGTACGATAGTAAGTAAAAGAAAATTTCCCCTGTTACACGATTTAATAATAAAATGTGTCAATACATTTTTTTTCTCGAAAAAATAAACTCGTTGATTTAAATAATGTTTTATACTTTTATTTATTATTTAAATTTAATGTAAGATGAGTTTTGAATTAAAAAAAAAAACTTTATATACGCAATAAACATATATAGCAATATTCTATATCATTACAACAAAAATCTTTTAAGGCAATAATCTAATAATAATATCTTTATACGTTTTACATTTATTTAGACCTACAAATATATATTTATATATATATTATATACAAAACTAATATTTGAATTAAAAACAAAACGGTTAGAAAGATTTTTAAAAATAAATACACCGTGAAATGTCTTAAGTGATTCACTCTACACATTGATGAAAAATAAATTCCTATACAAGGGCGAGTTTTAACAAAGTATAATTTCTTCTTCTAAGTACTCTATTAATAAAAAGAGATAACTGTCGAAGAAAACTGAATGTGATTCCTCCACCTCTAGATTTAGATAAAAAAAAAAAAAAAAAAAAAAAAAAAAAGTATTTTTTTCATGGAATATTTTATTTATCCTAAAAAAAAAAAAAGTGAAGTCTTATTCGAATTCTAAGATGCTATCCGTCAAGATTCTATAGGACGTATAGAGCTTCACAAATTCTATGGAAAATAGAACTTTTATTTCAAACTCTACGCAAAGTAGAGCCTTGATCTGAGAGCTAAGCTAGTGCTTGTCTGTACTTGTGAAATACGCATTATATAAATATAAATCTTTCTATCCGTATTCTTTTCTCACACACACACTCACACTCACGCACACGCACACACACACACGCACACGTACACATACACGCATATATGCTCTTTTTCTTCTCTTTTTCTATTTCCTAACTACCTTCACTACTTTGTCGTATTTCTTTTTAAGTGCATAATGGCGTAAGAGTGAGTAAATCGTATATATAATCGTATAATTTAAATATATATCTTAAACCTCCCCATCTTTTCTGCTGCTGAGAGATAAATATAAAATTAACGAATACAATTATATATGTGTATATATACTGTATATATACACACATATATACATATAATGTTGCCCAGGCTATTATTTGTCTCCTTTTGTACACCCACGACCCAGGTAGCAAACGTGCGTCATTTTGACGTCGAATGACGTCACTTTGACATATAATGATGTCATTTTGACGTTTAATGACTTCAGTTTGCTACTTGGGGAGCTTTTTTCGCAAAATCTGCATTTCTCGACAAAAGCTTGTTCAGTACTCGTGAGTTTTATCCTATGCCGTATCAGAGTCTCGACAAAGAGATTATACAATAATTATTTTATAATAAGATTATGTTGGTCCGGAAGTAATCAGGAATATCGGACGCGTCGCGCGCAAAAATCTCCTTCTCGTCGCGACTGTAACAAAAATACGTCCGCAACGTTTTATCGTTAAAATATGTTATTAATGGTCCTTCTTAACAGAACACACGCGACATTTTTTTTGGTCAAAGAGCTATACAAAATTTGTTTGTACTTTGACGCTACGTCGGCTAATCGGATTCATTCTGAATATTCTTATTCCCTATCAACGTCTCGTTAGTCAATAAAACTAATTATCTTACCATGTGTGGAAATACAACTATGCTCAGTACCTATACTTCTTCGTTTATTTGTCTCTCTCTCTTTCTCTCCGGCAGAAAATGCTCGACAAAGTATCTAGGATTTTCGGAGAAGAAGAAGAATATAAGGCAAATATTCGGTTATTAATTAATAAGTTGATATGAAAGTTATGTCTCATCAAAATATCTTTTTATCTAAAAATGATACGCAAGAACTTTGCGCTTTCTTCTCTCTGACGTCACAAATCCAACAGAGCCCAACCGGATATATCGGATCATATAAAAACGTTACTTTCTGTCTTATATATCTCTACAATATTCCAAACTCTTCCCTCCAAGTGTCCTAGATACTTTGAATATTTGAATCGTATCCCAAATAGCAAACCGACATCATTAAACGTCAAAATGACGTCATTCGCCATCAAAATGACGTACGTTTGCTATCTGGGATATCTTCCTATATCTTCTTGCTAAAGCACTGAAGAGAATACGATTTCGTTTAATTTTATCAGGTCCTATTGTTGTTGGTGTTATTATTACCGCTGGTGGTATTGTTGTTATTATTGTTGTTGTTATTATTACTACTGGAATTAAGCGGGCTACTGATGTTGTCGATTTCGCGCTGGGCCCGCGATATCTTCACTTTATCCCGCGGTGTGCCGTCCTCGCCGGTTTCCATCGCGAACATCTTCATCTTCTCCTTGAAGCTAAGCTTCTCCGGCACCGCGCCGATCTGCGAATTCTGCTGCTGTTGTTTCTGCTTCTCCGCTAGTCGTTTTTGTCTCGGATCCCTGAACAAGCAAAAAAATAGTTCAGATTCTTCCCCAGATAGCAAGCGTGCGTTATTTTGATGTCATTAAACGTCAAAGTGACGTTATTTTGACATTTAATGACATCAGTTTGCTGCTTGGGTCTTCTTCCTCATCAGAAGAATCCCAGGTAGCAAACATACGTCATTTTGACGTTTAATGACGTTAGTTTGTTACTTCGGATTATATGGTCTTTTTTAAATCTTAAATCCATAAATATACTTACTTATACACCTCTTGAGCCCCGATTACCCCAGGAGTAGCGCCAGTAAATGAAGCTCCGGATCCATCCGGCGTCTTCGGAGATGCCAATAGATTCTCCGCGTCGTTGATAAAATTCTGAAAGCATAATCAAACAGAAATGTTAATCAATATTTAAAAAATTGTAAATATATATTAACAGCAGCACATTTATATTGTATGGATTAAATTCTGCCAAAAAAGCTCGACTTTGAATGCCTTTTATGACAAATATGCAATTTTTTTGAGAGCATAAAGCAACGATTATTAACAAAAACTAGCATCGATCATGTACAACATGAAACGAAAACGTATTTAGAACACGACGAATAAAATAAAACATCTAGTAATGAATATACAGCGTATGAGACATACAAATATATATCCCACTAGAAGACAATCATCAACTATGACTGATCATTCATGCATCGTTAAATTAGACATTAGACATTTATAATGACGTTGTAACAACGATGAATATCTGTTTTGTGAATTATATCTTACTTGTTTATATGTATATCTGCCATTTGTATGCATTTCGAGAGAATATGCATATTTATAATAAATGCGTAATTAACAAGAAGTTAAGAACTCTTCGAGGAATTAAATTTTTGCTTAAGTTATTCATCAAAAGTACAAATAATAAACAGCGAAAGAAGTGTATATCTAACCAGGTAGCAAACTGACGTCATTAAACATCAAAATAATGTCATTTTGACGTTTAATGACGTCAGTCTGTCTCCTGGGTAGCTTCGAATAAGATAAATGTCTAAAAAATATACATAATTTTAATAAATAATATTTTTTACTTCTCTCCAGAGGATTAACAAAGTACATACATATATGTCATAATTATATATAGATACTGAAATATTATAAAAAACTGAACTAAAAGAGAAATAATAAATCGACAAATAGATAAATAAAATAGAAAAATAAATGAAGATTACAGAAAAAAAAAATACTTACGTTGGGATCCTCTCTAATAATGTCCATGGACATCGATGGCGGATTCGATGTTCCTGAGGAGGACATGTTGCGCAGCATAGACTCGCTATTTGCATTCGAATCATGAAAAGAGACTCTTTTCATTGATGCTGGCTGCTGAGAAGATACGGGAAGCAGATTAGATGTGGTGGATCCGTTCGACCTGAGAGCACTTTGCTGAGACATAACGGCGTAACTGGAGCCTCGTTCCGGTGGTGGAGGCGCGTCGTTGACGCTATTTTGTGAAGCTGAAATAAAGAAAACATTATATTTATCGAGATCAGAGAAGATTGAAATAGAACAGAAAATGATGTTAATTTGACGTCATATCGGTGAAATTTCGACTTCAAATTTGATCAATATGACTCTTCTGTTCCACTTGAGTATATATTATAAATATTACAAAAGAATTTTCTTAAGGAAAATATAAAAATAGAGTCAAAGTGCCTTCACTAAAGATGGAATCAAGCTCGATATGTACTTAAAAATTAAATCTACTTGCAAAATACTTAATCCTATTGCTAGCTCCCTTCCAATCCATAGAAGCTTCACTTTGATAAGAGCCTATAGCTTTATAATTAATTTACTAATCTCAATTTACTACTACTCTTAATTTACTAACGCATAGACACGCTGGGTCCATTGATGATGAGGTTGTCCAAACGCAGCATCCCCGGGTGCAGCTGACTCCTCGGCTGCTGGCTCTGGTAAGTTTGCTGCTGCGGCGGGTGCAGTTCCTCTTGCTTCTTCTGGCTCTCCTCGATCTCAGCCTGTTTCCGCTTCACCTCGTCCATGGAATGCGACATAGGATACGGCTTCTGACCGGAGCCAAAGTGGCTGGAAAGAGACGAGCCGTAACCAGGTGATACGTCCTGACTCGTTGTCGTTTGCTGTTGCTGCTGACTCGATTGCAGGTGCAAGCCGCTGCTCTCTTGACCGAGATTATTATTTATTCCGAGGTTTTGAGGCGCAGCTTGATGGGACAGGAGATGAGCTTGACTGCCGATAGGCTGGAGAGGTAGACCACCACTTCTTAGAGACTGATTGCCCGTGTTCGTTCTCGACAAGATCGGCAGCTGTTGAGTCCCTTGGACAGTCCTGTCCTGACTGGCTGCCATTCTCAGCAGACCTTGAACGCGCTGCGCGCTCTCGTTGTCCAGATCGTTACTTTCTTCGTCGTCGTCTTGATTCGCAGCCTCCTCCGCTCGCTTCTGAAAGTCCCTCTCCAGTTGGAGCGCTCGTAGCTGCTCCTCCTGCTGTTGCGTTCGATGCGTCAACCCGCTCAGCTCGGCGATCTGCTGATCCCGCCACTGACGGGCGGCTTCTCTTCTGCGGGCCTGTTCCTGAAGGATTACCAATAACGTTGAATGGCTCGTTTTTATTTCTATCAATTTATTTATTTATTATTATAATTTAGATGATTTCAGGTAGCAGACTGATGTCATTTTGACGTTTAATGACGTTATTTTAATGTTTAATGATGTCAGTCTGCTACCTGAGATGTTATTTTATAAATATAATAATAATTATAATCATATTATAATTATTTTAATTTTTTTATTAATTTCTATTTCCTTCACTATTAATCTCTATTACCTTCTCCCTCTCTTCTCGTTGCCAAGGGTTGGTCGCGCTGTACTGATACTGACGCGGTTGCTGCATGGCGTTGATTCCTCCCGCAGGATAATAACTACCCCGTGGTGGATCTTGCATGCTGGCGGTGTACCTGCAAGAAGAAATATCCTTCCGTTAGCTAGAAATGAAGGGAATTTGTCGAAGATAAAAAAGAAGAAAAAGAGAAAAAATAAAAAGAAAAAGAAAGAACTGAAAAGAAAAAAGAAGAAAAGAAGAGAAAAAATAAGAAAAAAGAAGACAAGACTAGTTAAATTTTCTCAAATGACATGAACCGAGACACACCTCGTGTCGGCCTGCTTGTACAGAGGATGCGTCGAGGTGCTCGGCGGCGGCGGTGGCGGGCTCTCGTTAAACGCGCCGTCGGACGGCAGAACCGGTCTTGACGGCAGAGTCTCCGACGTCGTTATCGAACCTTCCCCATTCTGCGCTCGATTCAGGACGCCCGATTCATTTGCGTACTGATCTCCGTTCGGATAGATGGAACTATTCTGGGAGCTGACAAAATGTCGGTTCTGATCGGCGTACAACGGCCTTGCGTCCTGGCCACTCGGGTCCCGGGTGCCCAGCAGATTTTCACTGGGCATCGAGTGGTGAGCGCGAACCATCCCCACCTCTTGCTTCGGCTTAGGCATCATTTGGCCGTATTGTTGACCTCCAGCGGCGTTCGGATACCGATTGGGATACTGATTCGAGTACTGACCGTACTGTGGACTGTTGTACTGAGGGTACGGAGTATCCGGATAGTTGTAGCCGGACGCGTTCTGCCTCGTAGCCGCGACGTAGCCGGGAGTACCCAGACTCGACGTGGAGCCGAGCGGCGTCCTCGGCGAGCGGACGTTGGACATCAGGGTGTTCGGGACTTGCTGGATCGGAGGCGCAGCCACTCGCGAGCCCACCATGTTGTACATTGGCAGTCTGTGCTGACCGAGCATCGGAGCGCCGCCTCGCAGCTCGCGTCGGCGAACCTCCTCCTGCATCTCCTGCATTTTCGCCTCCTGGCGGATTATGTCGCGCGAGGATTGGGAACGCGGCGGTGGCGGTCCGCCGCTCTGCTGCAGCTGCTGACTGCCAATCATCGAGTAGCTCTGCTGACCTTGAACCGGCTGGGTGATATTGTACGCGGACGTCGGACGGTCCCGGATGTGGGCGCCGCTTACTTCCAATGCGGTTGGTCGGTTCAGAGAGTTCTGCGAACCTCTCAGGGAACTCTTTTGAATGTGCTGAGGGTTTCTGTAAAAGAGCGTGACGATGAAAAGATTTAAGCGTTAAAGAGAAAACATTTTAAAGCGTTTAACAAAAATGTTTAAAGCATTTAAGACTTGATTGCACCAACGTTATTTTTAAATAATAAAAATTCAATATTATGTATATTATATATTTTTTGAAATATTAAAACAATTTTGAATTTTAATGTACCAGAGGACACTTTTTTTCAAAGAAATTATAAAAATATTTTTTTCTTAAGGTTTTCAAATTTAATGTAAATAAAAAAATATTTTATTAATTTTTTCTTTATATAATTTTAACTTCAAGCGGAATTTAAATATATGTCTGTCTTTATTTTTTTTAAATAAAGACATATTTAAGTCTCGCTTAAAATTAAAATGACGTTGGTGAAATTAGACCTAAGAAAAAAGTTATAAAATTCTTCTAAATTAATTGTACGCACGATAATATTTTCATTCTGTCCCAGGTAGCAAGCATACGTCATTTTGACGTTTAATGACGTCAGTTTGCTACTTAAGGCGTAATCCCAAATATAAGTGAAATGAGAAAGCAAGTGAACCTGATGAAAAATGAAAAAGAAAATAAGAAAAAAGAACGAAAAAAACAGAAAAGAAGACAAAAGAAAAAAGATAAGAAAAAAGATAGAAAAGAAGATAAAAAAAAGACAAAAGAAAAAATTTTTTTCTCTTCTTTTCTTCTTCTATTCTTCTGTTATTCAGTTTTCATTTATATTTGGTCATACGTAGAATGAAAATAAATTGTGTGTACAATTAATTTCGAAGAATCTCATATATACATTTGATACATATATATATGAAATTAAGATTAGAGAATTTGATTATATTTTATACCTGTCTTCCAACTGTTGTGGGCTAATTTGCTGCTTCACCATCGAGTCTTGATTCCGATAAATGCTCAGATTTTGGTAAAATCTTTCTGCTTCTGCATTTTGCATATTCGACGGTGCAGTCGTGTGCGTCGTATTTGGATTTAAATTGGGCGACGATTGCTGTCTGCTAACCAATCCACTAGGCGGTAAAGTTCCGATTCTCATGGGATCGTGCAAGTTATGACTTGACCTACAACAGAACAATATAAAATATTATCCTCTTACAAATACATTTTTATTATTACTAATTTTTAATTGCGTTGCAAATTCATTTAATATTATTAATTAAACTATTTATATTCATAATATTATTTTAATTTACATTATTTCCAGTCCAGATAGCAAGCATACGTCATTTTGACATATATTGACATCAGTTTGTTACTTGGGAAACTATACACAATCTACTAAAATTTAGTCGAATTTTAATGGGATAAAAAGATAAGAAAAAAGAAAAAAGAAAAGAAGAAGAAAAAAGAAGAAAGAAAAGAGAAAAAAAGAGAAGAAGGAAGAAGAAAATAAAAGAAGAAACGAAGAAAGAAGAGAAGAAAAAAGAAAAAAGAAAAGTTAACACATATTAAGTTGCCGACAGGTATATATAATATTCACCTGGAACGTAAAGAAGTTGCGCTGATCGTCGCCATGGAGGGTGGTTGAACTGGGGGTGTAACGCTGTTGCTGGAAGAGGCTCTGCTGTATCCTGGGTTAAAGACCTCGTGTTGCTGCTTGGCCTCATTACCCATATCTAAATAAATCAAATTCATAATAAATACTCTCTTTTTCACTTGTTAAATATCTATATTTTCTTATTTTATTTAAATCCTATTATTATAAATTATAAAATAAGTTTCTCTTTCCCCTAAGTTGGGTTCAATCGAGTGTCAAAGTGATAAAAGCGAGTGAAAAGCTGAGTGATTCGGATGCGCGCATACACATACACAAAGCACGGTTTTACTTACTATGCAACGCCGGTACGGATTTGCTGCTGTGGATTTGCTGAGGAGTAGCTTCGCGTCCAAGCTGCGAAGGTAGATCCCGCTCGCTCATGCGACGTGGACCTGCAGACGTAGCCGAAGCGGGTACACAAAAGAGAGAGACAGCTTTGAGTTAATGCATCAGTGAACGCACAAAAGGCGCGATTATTATTAAATTACAACTCATATGCAAAGCACACATTTTGTCGAGAACAGAGAACGCTCTTTTCTCTTCTGGGCTTGCCGGGGTGTTTGAGGGTTTGCGCTATTTCAAAGCATATGTAGGAAGAAAAATTTCAGAGTTGGGAAAGTTATTGTATGAGAGAGAGATTCGTTAACAATTTTAAAAAACAACTTCGATAATCCAACTCAAAAAACGATGAAAATCATTATGATATCATAAATAATCGTTAATAAATGATAAAAAATATATATTTATTTTTATTATTTATATCTTTATTATTATATACATATAATAAAGATATAAAAATATAAATATTTTTAATAATAAAAAAGTATATAATAAGTCGTTACTTATTTTTTGACAAGGCCAAGTTAGACACCTAAAATTTACACTTAAAAATGTTTTTATATTATAAAATATAATAAAAATAATATATTTTTATATTAAACTTGTTATCGATATAAAGCAATATTATTTTTAAATAATAAATATTTAATATTATATATATTATATATTTTTTGAATTTTAATGTACCACAGAGAATTAAAAAAAAATTATAAAAATAATTTCTTAAGAATTTCAAAGTAAATAAAAAAATATTTTCTTATTTTTTGTTATAAATTTGTCGAAAAATATGGATAAAAATAAATTTATTCAACTAAATTTCTGGTTATCGAAGTTGTTTTTTTTGTTACACGAAATGTACGTACATATTGTTTATATTTATTACAAGTAATATAAAAATTCCCAATCCTGTTAATTTTATACGCTAAAAGTGTGAGACAATACTTATTAATTATGATCATAACATGCTAAGCTAACATTGAGTGAGCAAGAGTTTTGCATTTGCACATTATATTATTTATATTATTTTATATAAGATGATTTCCAATTAAAAACTTAAAAATCGTATATACATATATTCAGATAAAAATCCTAATTCCGTGTTATTAAATATCGACATAATCATTCGTTCATTGATTAACAGAAAGACATTAGAATTTTGTAGAAAAGGAACCATCTTGTATATATATTAATAAAGAGTAAGTGATATAAACATGCATGTTTGCAATTATATAACTAGTTTGTTTAGTGTAATTAAGTAAATTAAAAATAGAAATAAATATGCAATATTAAAAAAAATTATTCTGTTGCAATTTTCGCAAAATCCATAATTAATTAATTGATATAAAGCATTCTCTTTACGCATTCACAGATTATGTGAATAAAATTATATTTATTACTCTAAGAACATTAATAAGATAAAACAGGCAAAAATATCACAAAAATATAATAAATGTATTAATGTATATCATGATAGCGTAATTAGTGAAAAATCGTATTATTTATTGGAATAAATCTGTATATATATATATATATATATATATATATATAATAATTTGCAAAATAACTTGGTTTCACTTTTGCATAAAGTTAAATTAGATGTTACATACAAAAACCAATTTGACACAAATTATATGTACATTAATTGATGCATTTTATATTCATTCAAAAACTGATCAAACTAGTTTTTTAATTATTGAGAACCCTGTTAAAGAAAAAAAGATTTGACATTGTTTACAATTCTTTTATACAAGAATTGCAATGTTTAAGAAATTTTATATTATTTTAAAGCATATTATGTACAATATATTTTAAAATACTCGGTCAACTTTTCAAATAATAAAAAAATTATCCAAAAAAATTTTTTATCAATCATATGCTATAAAATAACGAGTTGTGGGAATGATGATTATATTTGGCATGTTAGAATCGCGTTATTAAAAAAAACAAGAAAAAATATATAAATGTATAAAAAAAAAGATTAAACTCTACATACAGTATGATTCATTTTAATCTTGACTTAAAAAGTAAATTTTATAAAAAAGATTGAATAAAAGTTATATGTTGTAAAAAAGACATACAATAATGATCTTGACTTGACATTTACCTAAGACTATATAAAGGTCAAACTTATTTTTTTTGTATATATATAAATCGATTCCTTGCAATATTCAGCATAAAAAATTATAAAGAAAAAATAGTTAAAAATAAATAATATGAGATACTTTAATTTGACATTATAAAATACCTCACAAAGTGTTCATTTTTCGCTTATCTTCTCTTAATGTAAGAAAAATATATAATCATTTTTCAGAACAAGTATGCAATTTAACAACTATATATTTTTTTCTTAAAACGAATCATTCTTCATATATATATATATATATATATATGCACCTAAATATATATATATATATATATACCTAAATTTAAAAAAAACACAGGTCTAAAAAATCGTGCGACATTGATCCATCTGCGAATATCGATTCTCCATTCTGCGTTTAGGCAAAAAAAAAGTGCTCGAGTAACGAAGTTTGACTAAAAATGCACATCGAATGCATAAACGTGGTCGGGTAGCTTACGCGAGGTGGATCGGTGGACCGATTTTAGTTCTTCTAACGACAGATGGCGCTTCGGTCGCATCTTCTCCGCGCTATTCTCGCAATCCGATTTATCACCGAAGAATTTCCCAAATTTTGCTCGATCTTTAGTCTTAGTGGTTCGAGTTAAAGCAGGATTCGTCGAGTCGTCCCGCTTCCTCGATCCCTTCTTCGACTTCAGCTCCTCGAGGGAACGCGGACGGTACCATCTCGGTGTCTTCTTGCGAACTGTACGAGACGAATCGACGTCTTTATCAAGACCTTCGACGGAATCTGATAGGAACTTGCTGCTTGAGATGCTCTCGCAGCTGCGGGTCAATTTGACGGACTCGCCGGGAAGATTTTTGGTTTCTTCCTTCTCGCAAATTACAGCCCCGATCAGATTACTCTCGCTGCTGCAGAGCGATCTGGCGATTCGCATCCGCAGAACGTTCAGTTTGTTATGCTTGCGACCTGGGGGAAGCGTTTTCGACGGATTTTCCGAGGAGTCGGAGCGAAGCTTAGCGGAAGAGTGACGAATGTCGATGAACAGGCAAGATTTGAGACGTTTCCCGCAATATTGACGAGCTTGGGAGTCGATTTCTTCCGGGAATGACGAGCTTTTGGCAGCATTCGAGAGTGACAGTACAATGGAAGATGAAGAAGACGAGGAGTCGGAAGTTTCTCGCTTCATTCTTCTGAAGCTATCGTTATCGATCAATTTTTCTCGACATTTCGCCGAATTATTTAAATCACCGAGAGAGGAAGAAATTCGTTTCGCGCTTCGTTCCGGTATGAACAAGGGCGCATCGGTGTTATTCAGATTCGAAAACTGCTCGAGTTGCTCCGCGATCGCTCGCTGCTGCTCCAAGGAAAGCTTGGAGCTTTCAGCGTCAGTGGAAATCTGAGCTTTATCATTATCTTCATTCCCCGCAAGTGTTGGATCCCTCTCGGCGAACTCTTTATTAGACATGTCCTCCATCAAAGCTGAACTTCTTTCTTCAGTACTAATCGCAGTTGGATCTTTATTGCTATCCATTAAATAAGGAATCCTAGCAATGGTAACTCGTTTGGCACCGCGATGATGAGATTCCCCCATCGCAAAGTCATTTCTATCATCATCAACGTCGATGAAGATGACGTGTCTTCCGGCTGGGCAGACTCGAGAGTTCTTGCTCGTCCAGTTTCCAGTCAGATTCGAATCTGATTTGCATTCTTTTTGTGCGTAGCAAGACGACTGGTGCAGGTGTCGCTCATCATCCCTCTCCGACAACGCGATGTTCGGCTCCGACACGAATTGACGGGAGTCGGTCAGTTTGGTGGACTTGAACTTGATCAGACCGGCGTCGCCGAGTTTCGAGAAGTGCTTCGCTAAAGCCGCGACCCTGCCGCACCCTAAACGCACTTCCTCCGGCGACTTCCAACATTTCTCCGGCTTGGACTCGTCGCTGGACACGTCGCTATTCAGCCCGCTCAGGTCCAAATGCAGCTCCGGCATTATGGTGTACATCTTTGGGGTCGAGATGCCTTCCTTCTCGACTCTGCTTGACGCGCAGTCGTCGTTAATCGTGGAACTGGACTCTTCCGAGTTAAAAGCATCATCCAACATCCTATCTTCCTTTAATACACGTCTCGGGTTGTCAACCGATAAAAAGTTGGGATTCCTACACGCAGCTGCTCCAAAATTGGACAGTGGCACGTTTAAGGTCTGCTTCTGGAACTCTCTAGAGTCGCGATCAGCCTTGCTACAGCTCTCGCCAGACCCTATCTGGATTCTACACTCTGCCAGGTTGCCGTCATCGGTCTGATCGATGTAGGGTATAGCGTCGAAGCCGTCGAAGGTCAAGGAATGTTTGAAATCATCCGCAGCCTCTGCGTACTCCTTCGGCGGAGCCGTGATGGTATCGAACGGGTTCAAGGTGTCCGGATGGTCCAACCTACTCGTCGGGACCTGGTCCAGGTTCACATCATCCTCCTCCTCCCCTACCACCCTATCGTCGCTCGCGTCGCTCTCGTCCTGATAAATGACGGACGAGATCTCGTTGTCGCTGGTGACGGAGATCAGGGGACAGAGCATCCGCGACCTGGGAAACCGCGCCGGGGAAACGATGGGAGTGGAGGGACGCGGGAGGACGCGCTTCCTCTCGTCTACCGGGTACGCAAACTCTCTCTGACGGGGGGGAATGGAGCACGGATGCTCGTCGAAATCATCGAAAACCCGTGGAAACGCTTGATTACGGTAAACTGAGGCCTCGGCGAGGCGCCGAGACAGGCTCGCACCTGGTTGAACGAAATCCTGACAACGCGCCGCCTGCTGCGGGAAGGACAACAGGTCGCCCATCGAGTGTGACGTGGCTGGCTGACCGCCGACCGCCGTCCCCGTCGCCTCTAGCGCCGGCTCTAAGAGCTCGGACCTCGGCCGAGTCTTATGCGCTGCACGAAACAAGTGGTTAGTCAAGCGTTAATAAAGCGAGCTTCTTTCGAGCGAAGCGAAGCGGAAGGCTAGTTATTAACTCTGGACAGAGAGAATGTTTGGATTAGAAAATCACTGTGGTGATTTGGTGGAAAAAAAATTTCTTTCTACCGACACGTGTGCTTCGTAAAGCGAAAAGGTGACTTGGTAGCGTTTTTAACTTAATTCCATTTTATAATAGATTCTCTCTTGCAATTGCGTCATAAAATTCACTTTCATAATGAAAAAGTTTCTATAACTTTCCTCAAATACTCTATTATCAGTGTGAGTGAATTATTTACAAAGAAAAAAGATAGGAATTTTATTGAAGGACAATCGGATATAACCAGATAATAAGATTTCGATTATTTATCTCTTACTCCGGGGGCTAAATTAGCGTCGCGAATTGTAGGGTTAATTATTAATTTGTACTTACCTCGCGTCATCACGGGAGAAGGTTGAGACAACAATGTCGCGAGTCCGTGATATATAGCACCCTGCTTTGCGACCTCCAAAGTTACGATCGGACCGGTACGCACAAGATACTCGGCAGCCCTGAATTAAAAATTTAATAATAAAACTGTTGAAACACTTAAGAAGATTATTACGCTTTTTCTAGATTAAATCACACAAAATCTGCCGTACTTTTCTTGCGTAATCCCGACCAGACATTGTCCGTCCACCTTGAGCAATTGATCGCCTGCCGTCAATCTACCGTCCTGAAAAAAAATAAATATGCAAAAATAAGTCAAAAATCAATGATGAAATATATTAATTTTATTAATTTTAATTTCTTTTAACCTCGTGTAGCAAATTGACGTTATTAAACGTCAAAATGATGTCATTAACCGTCAAGACGTCATTAAATGTCAAAATAATGTTATCAAACGCTAAAATAATGTCATTAAATGTCAAAATGGCGTTATTAAATGTCAAAATGACGTCAGTTTGCTACCTGGAACAATAACAATTACTTACAGCATCAGCAGCGCCTCCAGCAACAACGCTTTTGATGTAGATACCCAATCGTTCCTGTCCTGCCCCCTACATACAACAAAATAAAAAAAATTATATATATATATATATATATATATATATATATATATATATATATAATGTATATACATAATAGATATGCAAATATAAATAGACAAAGATACATACTTTTGCCGCAACAATACTCAGACCCATGCCGTTAGTACTTTTGTGCAATTTAATGACAGTTATTTCTGGTTGAGCTTGACTTTGGTTGACGTGGCTGGTGTAGCCGCCGGATCTATTGCTCATCGCGCTGGGGCTACGCATCTGTAAAAAAAAACCGCGCGTTGTATTATAAAAATATTTTTTATACAAATTATAAAAATAAAAGCTTACATTGTTATGATGATCTATCATGTAAATGGTCCAGTAGCCGCTGCTGGTGGGTTGGGCCGCCATGCGGCATAGACCATCTCGTTGCAGCGGCGCCAGAAACTCGGCTAGTCCTGGTGGAACACCTCTAATTACCTCGCCACTATAACCATCCTCGGGAAGCAGCAATGCCAATCCTAGGATAGGTTCTTCCTCCAGTCTTATTTCACGGCCGTCTGCACGCGCGAGTGTATCTGCGACACTCTCCGCCACCTACGACATAGATTATAGTATATAATAATACGTGCTATAAAATCAAACAATGACAATTCTTAGGATTTTACAATCAATGACGAAGACAAAAATGATAGTATCTTCAAGTCTACTCACCCTCACAACATTCTCGATCAATTCGGCAGGTAACCTGGGCTCGTCGGCGGCCGGCTGATACTTCTGCAACAACGCTCTGACCTGCAGAGAATTCAGTTTAAAGCAAGTTGAGCTCAGCGTGGCTAGCTCTTCTGCATTGTACTTGGGAGCCTGCAGGAGATGAGTCGCCTGCATAATCGTCGCCAGATGACACTGACTGGCCAGTTCCAGTCCCTGCCTCTCGGCCCAAGTCTCCAAGGCATTCAGCCTCGCCTTGAGCCTGCGTCCGAACCACCTGACGCACAAATTCCCGTTTGAGACGAGGGTGTTGAAGGCCGTGGCATTGATCGCGTGAAACAGATGACTGAACAGCTGTATCGTCAACGCGGCGTTCACCCGGCACCGTCGCAGCAGCGCCATCGTGTTCGAAAAAATCTGCAGCACCCCGGCTTCCTTCGCCGGCTCGTCCGCGTCCGCCATGAATTGCGTCATCGCCGGCTTCAGCTCCTGAGTGACGCAACGGACCAGCGAGCCAAAAGCCGTGTGCACCGCGTCCGCCAGGATGTCCTGGGCCCGCGTGGAGAACGCACCCACGTGCCGGTCGCTCTTCAGCATGTGCAACAGTTCCGAGCCGTTCGCCAACCAAAAGGCCAAGGACGAGGTATTCATGCAACGGTCCTGGAAAGGTGCGATCCTCTTTGAAAACTCCGCAAGTGCAAATTGACGCGTTAAACGTCAAAATGACGATAATGACATCCCAAGTAGCAAGTATACGTCATTTTTACATCGACGACGTCATTAAACGTCAAACTGACGCCATTTTGATGTTTAATGACGTCAGTTTGCTACTTGGAATGTCTTTCTTTTATTCGAGCATTCGTATACGTGAATAGTAGACCCAGGCAGCAAGCGTACATCATTTTAACATCTAATGACACCATTAAACACCATTAAAATTAAAAAATGATATCATTTTGACGTTAAATGATGTCATAAAATGTCATTTTGACGTCGATGATGTCATAAAACATCATTTTGACGTCGCATGATGTCATGAAATGTCATTTTGACGTCGAATGATGTTATGAAATGTCAACATCAAATGACATTATTAAACGTCAAAATGACGTTTACTTGCTACCTGGGTCTATTATTCACCTTATACATTGATCAAATAAAAGAAACAAGTTATATGTCGAAGTATATACCTGGATAACGCGTTGAATCATAGTAGCGACGTTTGCGAGCATGACGGTGAGTCGGTGAGCTCTCTCCGTAGGTTGAAGTTCGGGTCTATAGTGCGTGCTGGCGCGATATCTCGCGGCCAGGTAGAGGGTATAAGTAGGCGCCAACTTGAACTGAGGCGCCGAAGGCTCCACGTCGGTAATGACAGTGTAAAAGAAGGTGTCCTCCGTCTCTTCGAGGAACTCGAGAACAGCCGGCAGAATCGGATCCGTGCCTCGCGGCTGTCGATCGTACTGCGAAAGCCTGTTCACAGTCGATACAGATTAATTCTCTTCCTTGGATAGGAATTTTCTATAGTATTTTTTTTCCTTTTAGAAATTCTTTTATAAATATAAATAATTTTCCAAATACTTCTAATTAATTATAAAGAAACATCAATAAAACATACATTACTACACTCTAACATTTAACAACACTTATAATTATTGTGCGTTCAATAAATCTGAAGGGTTCGACAAGTTGTTCAATGTAAACCTGGCGAAGAAAAATTTTCTAGAATATTTCTAATATATAGAAGCTTTACACAATTATAATTCTTTAATAAGGCTCTTCCGACAACAACTTCCAAGTATTTATTTTTCCTTAGCCAGAATCACAAGCAACCGTCGTAAACTGGCATAGATTTGCATCTCGCTACCTATTGCCGTCTCTGCTGCTGCTGAGACTCGCGGTCTCCACGTTCCCGTCTAAATCGAACGTGGTCTCGTAATTGTGCGTGGGTTCCGGCGGGTGCGTGGGACTACGTGGACTACGAGCTGCGACGGCGGACTTGGACGGACTCGACGGGGCCGCGCGCTCCTGGACCTGGCTCTGGGCGCCACCCCCGTTCAGCGTTCCGGTTCCCGGGTGGAACTTCTCCGAGCTGACGTCCTGACTACTGACTGCGTCCGGCGAGCGTCTGTTGTGCGCGCGAAGCAAAGATTGGGTGACGGGGGAAAGCGAACGTAAAGCGAGCAAAATAAATATCAATGATAAACAAGGTAGCAAAATGTGATAAAAATCTGTTGGAAAGTGTATATCTTTAATGAAGCTTCAGAGCCAAAAATATGGAGAACCTTTAATAAGGTACAATAATTGAATTGGATATAAAGTCCATCGACATAGCAATTATGATGATAATTAATGATTCTAATTCTGATAAGCTAAACGTACGTATATGTACATCTAAAATGCATAATAGCTAAAATGCAACATTCGTGCATCCACATCTATTTTCATTCAATTACAGCAATAATAAAGTGTAAACATTTTTTTACAAATTTTAAGAACTTACCGATCATAAGCATAGTCAATTTGTTTGTTGGAGTCATGTCTCTGTCTGATGCGCTCCTCCGGCGCTGGGTCGATGAAGCGAAAAGTGTGCATCCTGCCGAATTTTATAATAGCTCCATTCTGTAAAAATACAAAAAAATATACTTTATGATTAAGTTATTTCTCGTCGAAAAACAAATTTTATACTTAAAGAATATTTATATTTAATTAAATTATTAGGCAGCACTAAACATGTCTAAAATCGGAAGATAAGACGTCTTTAAGAAATTTTTAAGATGCCTTTAGATATTATATCGTAAGATTTCTTAAAGATATCCCAAATAATAAATATACGTCATTTTAACATTTAATGACGTCAGTTTGCTACTTAGGGTCTTAAAAATGTCCTAAAAATATCTTATGTACAAATTTTAGATGGTACTGTATATCTAGGTAAATAGATCAATAAAAAACCAATTTAAAAAAATTAGCAACACACTTGTAGTATAGTGGTCTGGTGTATCCTTTGATTATTGACGTATGTGTGTGCATCTCTGGAGCACGGCGTGAGAGTGACAATGTTCTCGGTGAAGGCTATCACGCAATGCCTGGGCATCACCGTAGGTCCTGGGAGCGTCAAGGTTTGCGCCTGTACCGCTTGGGGCCCAATTGGCCTCTCCGAGCCTACCTCTGTGACATTCGGCTGCAATCGGTGACGCACTCCTACGCCATTTGGGATATCACTGCCGTCAGGATTGAGCTCCAATAGGAACGGTAACCTCTCGTCCTCGTACCTGATACAGATTAAGAGGTGCCAATGTTATCATCGTCCAGATATTCATAGAAAAGACCTGCTACGAATACACTAAAACGATCCCAAGTAGCAAATCCAGGTAGAACATAAAACTTATAATGACGTCATAATTATGTCATCATGATTTTATTCATTCACTTAAAAATGATTTAAAGATGACGAAAGGAATTATAGATTTAAAACCCTGTAATATAAAATAATCGCTTTATATAATTTTCAAAAAATTTATGTTGCTTGAATCTTATTAGAATATGTGCGAACAATAGAATAAATAAATAATTGCAATATATAAAAATGTTTTCCCAAAATAATTTTTAAGTAACGTCATCATAATGTCATGAGTTTTATGTTCTACCTGGGAACTGACGTCGTTAAACGTCAAAATGACATCATTTTGACATTCAATGACGCTTCGATATCAAAATGACATCATTTTGACATTCAGTGACATCAGTTTGCTATCTGGGATATTTTACAAGTAACAGATTAGTTTCGAACTCTCTAGATTATTCGAAAACAAAAATCTACAGTATTTGTAAAATTGTAGGAAGGAATGATTGTCAATGTTTTGACTTGAATTTTTAAGTACATATCGATCCATTCCTAAAATCCGGTGATCATAAAATTTTAGGATAACTATAATTAATACGATAGACATTATTTAATAATTGTCAAAAAAATAATCTATCGTGTGGAAGAAAGTTTTGTTCCCTTGCGGAAAAAAATTTCGTACCTGTGATCCAACTCGTTCCATTTTCCGGCAGGTTTCTTTTTACGTTTCCGCGGCATATAATCCGCGGGCCTCCTCCTTACATGAAACATAATGGAACCTGCAATAAAAGCACACATACATTTTAATTTAGCAACGTTATCGCACGAGCAATTTACACGCTATATACATTTTTTATCTACATAAATAAATAAAGACACACAATCATGAGTTATAATTCAAGATATATATAAAAAATACATATACATGAAAGATAATAAACATTATATAGAGCGTAAATACGTTTACAACAGAGCTTGTTCATGAAAGTATAGTAATACTTCAGGACTACTATTTCACGCACACAAAATTCACGCGAAAGAATCATATTTTTTTTTAAATCAAATAAATAAATCGCAAATAGCAAACTGACGTCATTAAATGTCAAAATGACGTCATTCGACGTTTAATGACATCATTTTGACGTTTTATTGTAACATTAACATCTAAGACGTCATTCGATGTTAAAATGACATCATTTTAACATTTAATGACGTCATTCGACGTCAAAATGACGTACACGTTTGCTATCTGGGATATGAAGCGCTTTTGCGAAAAATAAATAAGAATGACAAGTAAAAAATGCGATAAGGGGGAGGGGGGTATTTTATCAGGTATACTTCTGGAAACACAACGATGGGAAGAAGAAAAAAGGGGGAAGCTTCATCAAAGCGCCGTCGTACGAATGCGCATCGTTAAATTCAGAAATAGCGTGGCATACAATAAACGGGAGAAGCCCCCCGGTAAATCGTCGAATTAGTATGATGGACGAGAGATAGTGATCGTGCATTTTTTTTCTCGCGTTCAAAGTATTAACCGCGCACCACCGACCGTTCCCCCTTTACGCACAGAAACGCACGTGTGCTCCCGAAGCGCGGTAACTTCTCACGGAAGAGGACGGAAGAAAGGGAGAACGACTCTCGGCTTCTCGGGTCAGCGAGCCGCACAGTCATTGCACCCAGTCCTCGTCCAGTCGGCGGTTTTCATCAGCGTTTCCCTCTTGATTTTGCAAACGACGTTGTTTTCTTACTTTCGATTGGGGTACACCAATATAGGTTATAGGGTAATACATTCACGAGTGCCACTCATTATCAGAAATACAATTTTTAATTTTAATGACCTCGAAGGATGGTATAGTAGGTCAGGTTCGAGAAAAATTAATTTTCCATTGAAACTTATCAATTAATTACGTAAAACAAAGCAAAAAATCGAATCCCAAAGTGCGGTTGGGGTCAGAATTGCTCAGTTACTGTTTTTGTCTATGGCTTTTTTATAAAAGGTCAGAGGAGTTTAAAATCAAAATTTTGAATTAAGATTCCTACTAGATCCTCGAAATTTAAATTTATATTTTACTTTATATTGAGAGCCTTACTAAAATCCTTAACCCCATTAAGAGACTACTGATCCAAGATCCAAGAGTCTGTGGACTCTTGAAGTCGCAATTGCTTGAATAAGTTCGATAACTAACTAAACATTTATAATAGAATCCGAACATATAATTTTGGATTCACCAGCAATCTAGATTGGAGGGATTTGAAGGATTTAAATTGTTTTTCCCGAAGACACTCACCCAACATTACCTCCACTTTGCCGCTTCGGCGTGGCTTAAATGACCAAAGTCCGATCATATCTTCATATCTATGAAATATCCGATAGCACTTCTAGATCTAACAATTCGTACGTGGATAATAACACGAATATATTAAAAACGGGTCTCTCAAAATAAATACAATTTAAAATCTGTAAAACATATCTTTTGCAACTAGCTGCACCTGTCTGTACATAGAAATATACTTTTCTGGCTTTTCATATTTTTTTATTTTATATACTTAATTAATTTAATTTAAAAAGCATTTATAAATAATATACACGCTTTGCCTCGTATTTTTTATTATAATTGACTGCTGTTTGCGAGAATTAATATAAAAAATTAGTATGAAAAATTTAATAATGAAATGTAATGTGAAAATATCTGGCAGACATTTATAAATAAAATATTTAAAAATTGCACATGTAGAAAAAAGTTGATTATGAGTAATTAAAGTCACATTAGAGAAAGACAAGTGAAAATAATCCATCTAACCGATCGATTGTATTGTCTCGAGGACATCGAGGATAAGTATACGTTTCATGCTGATTTTCTCCTAGTAATGTACAGTTATATATAAATCGACTAGCGTATTATTCTTATCGATATAAAACGTCCCTCTAAAGTTCCAAGAACGACATTTTGTCATTAAATTACACCTGTTGCAATTTCTACGCTAGCTTTAACCTTTTCGGTTCACTCGATAGCAAATGCCAACGTCATAGTACAATTCGAAAGATTTGCAGATATCGCGCACGCAGTCAAACTTGATAAACACGCCATGAGCGTAAAATAAACAAACGATATCACTCTCAATATATTTCAAATCACCCATGACAATCTCGATAAAATAAAAAGTAAAATAAAACAAAAATGTAACCCTTGTGTTTTTTTCATTCCAAATAAGGATATTTTGTTAATCACTATATAAAGTTTCGATGTCTTATTAAGTTCCCGAATATTAGAAATAATAAATGATTTTTAGATAAGAATGATCAGCAAAGGTCCAAACTAGTTGCATTTTGAGAAAATTTTACCGCGAATGATGTACTTTGTATTCACAACCGCGCCTCTCATTGTTACTCAAGTACAACAGAAAATCAAAATAATATTATTTTGACGTCATTGATCAAATTTGAACTCTAAATTTGATCAATGACGTCAAAATGATATTATTTTGATTTTCTGTTCTACTTGGGTACTAATCAATTAAACAAAAACTTTGATATTTAAATACAAAACTTCAGGTAGAAAATGGATATGTCAATATTTATATACTATATAATGGAAATTAATCTGCTGAAGATGATTTAAAGGGGGAAAGATCGAAACGTTAAAGAAGATATCAAGATAAGTTTTCCAGGTAGCAACTGTATGTCATTTTGACGTTTAATAACGTCAGTTTGCTACTTGAGTTGTTACACCTGACTCTTATCAATCCATTTTCTACCTAAACGTTTGTATTTATAAATCAATTAATTAAGTAATAGATACTTTCACGAAAAATTGATTCAATTAAAATGAGGCGACTTTAAAAAAAATAATTTATTTGAATATTCGCGTACAAAATATATATTCAAAAAAACCGTGTCTAAAAAAACAAAAGAAAATAAAAACTGTGCAAATGTAACTTCTAATCAAATAAAAAGCTGTACGCGTGATAAAGAAGAATGAAACCTTGAACAAATTAATTAAGTGATAAGTTTCATATATGTACATATAGCCTACTGAGAATTAATTAATTGTATTTCATAGATGTAGATAAATTTTCTCTAGCCCGGCTATAGATATAGCTGGGCTATAGATTGTGGAGTATATTTTTAAATGCACTATAACACCGAACCAACAAATGGTGCACTTGAAAGAGCGGCACTTTCGAATTTTAACGCTAGCACACGGCGCGGATCAATGCAACAATTATGCAATTATAAGTAATTCGCGTAATAAAAAAAAAGAACGAACGTAGCGAGTCCTTTACTCGTGACGCGCGAAGCGATACTCTTCGTGGCTCGCCCGTTAAAACAACACTGGGGCGTGTGTTGTTCCTCTTGTTACTTTCGTTCCGTGGAACGTACACAGGATGTATATAGAAACCTAGAATACGATAGAGCGCACGTGAGATCGGCGCAAGCGTGTTGACGGGTGTCCCCTTACACGGAACTATAGTAGCTCTCCTTCTCCTGGCGTTTATATTCGCCGATTGAAATTATTTATTAGTTTTTTGCGTCGGATCGAGATGGATTCGTGCGCGACAGTTTTTCATCGAAAATAGGGCCGGGGAAGAAGTGCATACACATACAGAGGAAGATATTGGGTTCTTTATTGGATTACTATATGTTGAATCTCATGGGAATATTCGTACAAGAGTTGTAATTTTTTTATCGTCAAATGGATATTAGAGGAATAATATAAATAACTTCTAAAATTAGCCAACGGTAACTTTTTCCTCTCTATCTATGAAGATACGAACTAAAGGAAGCCATAGGTGAAGGCTATATGTGATTTCAAAGATGTAAGAACAATCATTTGTCACCATCTTGGGAACTTATTAACTGGTTATTGCTAGAAAAGTAGAATTATTACTAGTTATTTCTGGAAAATGATAATATATTCAAATATATGACAAGAATTGATTCCCAGACAGCATCGTGTCCAAAATTGGTATATAAGTTCTTTAAGAAGTCGTATCCCAAACAACATCACGTCTAAAATCGGGGCATAAGGCGTCTTAAAGATCTTATTGACGTCTCAAAAACATATTTTAATATTTAACTAAAAGACATTTTGATGACTCCTTTAAGACTCTTATATCCCGATTTTAGATGTTCTGTTGTCTAAGTTTCGATTTTAGTCCGAGTTATTCCAGATAGCAGCATACGTCATTTTAATGTTGAATGATTTTATTAAACGTCAAAATGACGCCATTTGACGTTTAATGACGTTATTAAACATCAAAATGACAGTTTGACGTCCAATTATTGCTTGGGATATATTCCTAAGCAAGATGGTCGTGATTGAATCCCCCTTAAGTCTCAGGAAACAGGACTTATAACTTCTTTTTATAACATTTTATTTTTATGTCATTTTTTGCTAGACTATTCATGTCAATCTACATTTATTTCTTGCTATCATTTTGCCATTTATTCGATATCTATGATACTACAATAAAAACAGGTTTCATCTTGAACAATAAAACATCTTACGATTCTGATATGATCTTCTTTTCATAAACCTATTTAGAATTTGCAATATACTATATTATTATTATAAATAATGAGATAAATGGAAGTTTCTTTAGATCAATTTCATCAATAAATATATATATAATGTGTATTCCGAAATTAATCATCAAACAAATATCAAAAGAAATCATCATGCTCTCTTAATTATCGCAAAAAGGCCATAAGAACTTTAGAACAATTCCTGTATAATAATAATTACAGTTAATCTTACTAGAAAATTCAACAACAAGA